CAATACACGTGACGCTACTCACCAAAGTCACCCACCCATTCCTCTTTCCAACAACGGGAACAGCCCGCTGCGTGACACAGAGAGGGGAGATACCGGTACGGGAGGTGAAGGACCGTTAGTTAGCAAACCATCGGGCGGAGATTACAGATCTAGGGTCTAGGGAAGCCTCGACGTCAACCTTGCCTTTTTTGGTTTATTGGAGGCCTTCTTCCCTGGACGGCGTTCGTTTGAGACGAGGTAGCTGGCTAGATGTGATCGATCCATCGGGTTGTGGCTAGCTACGCAGTCAAGTAGTACTAGAGATCTACCGAGGCCGCGGTCGTGGAGAACGAGGGTCTGTCTGGTATTATTACATGTATGTATCCTATCTATCCTGTCTTTATTACTTGTGCAAGATCCTAGCTTTATCGTGTAAAGGCCCGACGATGCCATTAAGGGCTGGAAAGTGGAAGGCAAAAAAAAGAAAGAAAGAAAGAAAGAAAGACGCGAGTTACGAATTGGATAGTGTTGCTGCCTCCTCCTTCGTCTCCTTCTTCTTCTTCAAATGATTACCGACTTCGACTTTGCTATAGATCGCCCCGCCAGAGATCGCAACGACCAAGCCCACGCCGTTAAAGACTCCGATCCTGACGTCGAAGATAACGATCCCGAGCAAGACCGTAAGGATCTGCTTCAGGTTCGCGCAGATGGCCATGGTGAGGGCCCCAGCGACCCTGTTTGTGCCGAAGGAAGAGATGTTGAGGAGGAATGCGATGCCGCTGTTGATGAGCAGCGCAGCCGTCCATCCGGGGGTGAGGGAACCCGCGGCCACGAAATCCCGGAACCCGCTGCCTTCCCCGGTGACGATGGCGTAGGCCAGAGATTGGAGGGCGGCGAGGGGTGAGATGCGGAAGAGGAGCTCGAGCGGCGGGAGGGAGAGGTTGCCTGTCATGAGCCGATTGGAAAGGATGGTCTTCAGGGCGGCGAGGAGGACCCCGGAGATGGTGAGGGTGAAACCCCAGGCGGTGAAGTCGAATTCGCCGTAGGCGACCATGGAGACACCGGTGATGATTGGGATGCAGGATAGATACGTCGGGAGGGAGTAGGTGCGGCCAAAGTAGAGTTTGTAGATGAGGATGGTACAGACTGGGGCCGTTGAACGGACAATTTGATGGAAAGATACGGATACCAAGCCTCTGTGTTGACATATTAGACATGCGACCTCTATGAATCTTCTCGGGGGACTTACAGCGAGACGTTTGATATCGCTATGTTGATAGTGCACAACACCGAGAACGCCACGATCACTCGATTGTCTTGGGTCGACAGAATTGTTGGTTTGATATATCCACGAACCATGAGAATATAACATCCAACGGATGTCATTCCAGTATGGAAAGCAGTCAAGAGGAATGGGCAATTGAACTGGCAAAAAAAAAAAGGTGTCAGTCGCAGCTTCGGACAACCTGATGATCCAACTGACCTCTCCCAGCAGCAACTTGCTGTGAATCGTCAGGGACAAGTTTAAGAGTAGGTATGTCCCAAGGTAGAAGAGCTTCGTACGCAGAGGAATTGTGTATTCCAGAGGAGCCGCTTTCGACGCGAGATCTAAATCCGATTTCTGTGCCTCGAGATCCGTCTCATGGAACAGTAATGTTTCTTTTGGATCATAGCCAGCCTCAACATCATGCGCATCATAAAAAGCCGTGCCTGAGAGTTGCGACCTGGAGGCTACATCGACCAGCCTTACGTCGAGTGACTCCGAATGTCGCGGAAATTCAGTCTCTAGTCCGATACATGCTGAATCTGAGAAAGCTCTCCTCGCGACGGGATCCATATTTTTGTTGTTGTTGTTGCTGCTGTTGCTGCCGAGCTCTTGGCGGAATCGAGAAGTGGAAATGCAGTGGGAACAGCCGGTCTTACTCAACACTACCCGTGTAAGGCCACGCGTAAAGCTTGATCGTATACTGGAAGCTATCTAGCGACACATATGTACTCGAAGGACTCTTGTGGCTGTGATGCCGCCAGCTCACCAGTTGATAGCGAGCAATTATCAGCGGGTTGGGAAACTTGGGTTGTTCCTTCCAACCTCCAACTCTTGCGGACTTCTCGAGTTGCCAACTGCAGGAGCCGTCTGTTTAAAGTTTTTCTGATCTAAGCTTTGTGCCTGTTCTCGTCAGATTTAGAGCCAATATAGACCGACACTGATTGTCCCTTCGTGTACATGCCAATTAACCGAGCCCAGCACAGTCCGCCATCGAGACAAACAAATAGCTTCATTTCAGCATCAGTCGAGCCGCTCCATGTTTTATACTATACCCTGGAGCTTGCGCAATAGAGAATAAGCTCAGCTCCTTGGCTTCATAGCTACACTCTTGCCAAGAGATGTCCAGTAGAGCTCCAGCGGATTTCGCCTCGGGTTTAGCATTATTGGGATTCGTTGAAGTCTAGAGATCGCTGGAGAGGAAATGATTGACCAAAAGGCCAGGATAGAAAACTCTCAGTCTCTGCCGCTCAAGGTCGATAGAATGAGGCATCCCCGTGGTACTCACCTTAGGAGCTCTCCAGGTAGCCTGCTCTCCGTTCATGTAGAGAAAGGACCTCTTCGAACCCTCGCTAGCATCCGAGGAGATTGCCTCTCACCTCCTTCCCTTTAGATTCCGGGTAAGAACATTCGACACTCGATTTCCGCAGATTCTTCGGGGGTGGGCAATGGCCCCCTCGATTGCTTTTCACGGCCAGGGCGAGCCATTGACAATGAGCAGTTCGAAAGTTATCGATGATGGGATCCCTTCATCAGCTGGCATTCATGGCGGGAAGAGAGCGCGAGAGCTGATTCCTCAGATTGACCACCCGAAAATCACAAAGATCTGTTGTATCGGCGCTGGATACGTTGTAGATACTCCTTGCTTCCACTTCCACTTTCCAAGCTGTGCTGTGCTGTGCTGGGCTGGGCTGGGCTGGGCTGGGCTGGCGCGTCGAAGCTGACAGTGCGAGCAGGGAGGCCCAACATGTTCGGTGATTGCGAACAAGAATCCAGATATCAGAGTCACAATCGTAGATCTCAGCGTCGAACGTATTGAAGCATGGCAATCCAACGACCTTCCCATCCACGAACCGGACTTGATGGAAGTTGTGCAATCAGCTCGCGACAACCACGAAGGTAGACCCGCGAACCTCTTCTTCTCCACGGATATCGATACTGCCATCATAGACGCCGATTGCATCTTCGTCAGTGTCAACACACCAACAAAGAGCCTTGGGAGGGGCAAGGGAAGAGCACCCGAGATGTCATGGTTCGAGTCTGCTATTCGGAGAATCGCCGACGTAGCAGCATCAGACAAGATCATCGTCGAGAAATCCACGGTTCCCGTCCGGACGGCAGACAACATGCGCGAGATCCTCATGGCAAACTGCAGACCGGGCGTGAAATTCGAGATCCTCTCCAATCCGGAGTTTCTGGCCGAGGGAACCGCCATCAAGAACCTGCTCGAGCCAGATCGCATCCTCGTCGGTTCCCTATCCACCGAAGCAGGAATCCGGGCTGCTGCTTCGCTGGTCGACGTCTACGCGGCCTGGGTCCCGAGGGAGAAGATCATCACTACCAGCCTCTGGTCATCCGAGCTGGCCAAACTCGCTGCCAATTGCCTCCTCGCACAGCGAATCAGCAGTATCAACGCCCTCAGTGCAATCTGCGAGCAGACAGGAGCCAACGTCTCCGAAGTCTCCAGAGCATGCGGTCTGGACGCTCGGATCGGCCCCAAGATGTTGTCCGCCTCTGCTGGCTACGGCGGTTCCTGCTTCAAGAAAGACATCCTCAGCATGTCGTACATCGCCGAGGCTCTCCACCTCCCTGAGGTAGCGGCATACTGGAAGTCGATCAACGACATCAACGAGTACCAAAAGGATCGCTTCGCACGCCGCATCGTGGCATGCCTGCACCACTCTCTCGCGAACAAGAAGATCGCCGTCTTCGGCTTTGCGTTCAAGAAAGACACCGGCGACGTGAGAGAGAGCGCGGCGATCAGCATCTGCCACCATCTCATGATGGAGGGCGCAGATATCGGAATCTACGACCCCCAGGCTCCGGAAGAGAACATCCGCCACGAGCTCGAGGCCTCCTGTGACGACCCCCGAATCGTTAGAGAGCGGGTGAAGGTCTACCAGACGCCGTACGAGGCATCTCAGGACGCTCACGCGGTCGTGATCGTGACCGAGTGGGACGAGTTCGGCAACAGAACGTCGGCGGCGCCAGAGAGGAGTGTGGCGGTCAGTACTCCGCCCGCTACGCCTCGAAGGGGCACGTCTGAGACCGAGAAGGCGTTCTCTGTCAGCCTAGAGCTGGAGCCGGCGGCTCTGAAGGCCAAGGTCGATTGGGAGAAGGTTGCCCGCGGTATGCGGAAACCCATGTACGTCTTTGACGGGAGGAATATGGTTGAGCCTCGGAGCCTCGAGGACCTGGGATTCCAGGTCGAGGGTATTGGGATGGCTGGCAGAGGGCGCAGGGTTGTCGTCGATTTGGACTCGTAGCTGATCTGGGACGGGAACGGAAAAGCTTGGGATACCGGTAGCTGGTTCACTCGCAGCGTCTGCTTGATAAGTATTGGCGAGGGTGTCGGTTACAGATAATGCCGATTTTCCTCGGATTCATCTAGCTTCTCGAATATTCACGAGACGCGCCTTTTGAGCAAAAGATCAATGATTCATGTTTCTTTTTAGCTTACACTGATAGCAACCTGGTAGATGGACCAGAGGCGGAAAGGGCAAGGTAAAAAAGAGAATAAGTAACAGCTGAGGAATGGTGAATTATACATCTTACGTATAACGCCCCATCTGCTTACTTTATCAACATGTATCTTACTGTAGAGAAACAAAGACCCCGAATCAAAGCCACCGCCCGTATCTAGTATACGTATCCCATAACCCTATGTCAAGGATCTTCGTCGTCCTCCTCCTCCTGCTCCACCACCTCTTCGATCCCGATACTCCTACAAAACGCACCCCACTCCCCGGTCTGGACGCTGTCGAATTCCACACCGCCCAACAATCTCGAAGCCTCGAACCTCGCCCTCGCCTCACAGTCCACAATCCCAAAAACTAGGCTGCCATCCGGGAGATCTTTGTCCAGTGGTAGGGAGTTTGGTCCGAGAGACGGGAACTGCAGACACGGCAAGACAAACTTCAGCGCCTCGCCTTCTAACCCCCAAAAGTGCCTTGCTCGCTCCACGGAGACGGTGGAGAGCGCGTAGTTCATAGTTGCAGGCACGTCCCCGAAACACGCTTCTTTCGCGTACAGAAAGTCCATGCGCTCCGTCTTGGTAGTCGTATTCTCAACGAGGTGGAGAATGTCGGCTGGGGAGAGCTTCATGATGTCGCGCACGAGTCGGCGATACTCACTGCCTTCGCCCCAGGCGATTTTAGCCAGGGCACGGGGCGGCAGGGAGTGCAGGTAGTGCTCCTGTACAATGGAGTTGGAGGGGTAGAGGTCGGATTCCACCAGCTGCTCTACATGGGCGAGGAACTCGGAGAGCTGGATGTGCTCCACTGTGCTGTACGTGCGGAGGAGTCTGTGGCGAGGGTCGTCGAAGGAGGCGGGGGATGGCGGGTAGGGCGAGTATTGCGTGTAGGTGCGGGAATGGAAGAGCGTGGTGTACGTCCAGTGGTGGTATATGGCTCTCCGCAACCTTTCTTTCTCGTGCCTATGTAGCAAGCGACGATTGTCGGAGCCTATTCTCCACCGCAGACGAGGGTAGAGTTCTGTCCAGCGGTCTGCGATTTTGCCATAGTGAATCATCTTCTTCATCTGTTCGAGGGTGAGTTTTGTAGTGGGTGTAACTGATGTTATGCGTGAGAGAAGTGTATCGATGCGGATTTCGGTGCCAATGGGTTTGCGAGTTTTGTCGGGCTCGTTGGAGAGGACGAGCTTGAGGAGGGAGGGGAGAGGAGAGAAAGAATTGTGTAGGCCTTGGGTGAGGAGATGCATGCGTCGGCCATGGAAGGCGCGGTGGGTTCTTCGACATGTACGAGCGAGGGCAAGGAGGTCGGCCAGCTCGGATTCGTCGTAGATCTTTTGCAAGATCTCGGTGGAGAGTTTGGTGATGGACATGGTGGATCAGCGCTTGGTGTTGGATTGTGTTTTGGGGCGATTGTTTTGTTCTATCTGTCTGTCAGAAAGATACTTTTGGCAGGATTTTTATGCAGATGGATGGGAGGGGAGAAATACTCTTTCTTTCTATATCTGCATAGACAGCTTCTCACTCCTTCCCTCGTACAGTCTGATCAACGTATTTGACAGCCTCCTCTCTTCAACCGCAACAAACACACCCTCTGCACCAAATACTCTCAAACAGAAATAAAAATATGTCGATGATATATCGACCAGCACGCGCAAAGAGCGTGGACCGCGGTGGAAGCTGTAATATACAGCCACCAACGGCAGGGGAGCCAGGTAACCTAACTCCCAGACACCCCTTCGTTGGGGCGATGGAGGGATCTGGAGCTGAAGACATCTTGCGACATTCTGCTGCTCGAGGGAGCCAGTCGCGGGCGACTGGTTAGTGGTGATTGAAGCATGATTGATGTTGTGCTGGTAGAGAGGAAGGGAAAGGAAAGACGAGGTTGGGTGAGTCGTGGACCCACTTTCATTTAGGAACCTGGAACAACGATTCTCCGCCAGCTTATTTACTTTGCATAACGGGGGAGAAACCCAAGTTTTCTTGACGTTCTGCTGCTGTATATTACAATGGATACCTACATGCATCTCTTGATCATGCAGCAAATCGTGATGATCGGCGGAAGAGTTGATCCCGACCGCTCGTACACCCAATGGCCTCCGGTGTTACACTCTTTGAATGGCCGCACACCAGCAACCCGGCAGGCATCTCACATCTTCTGTCATTGCCTTCCTCATCACCAATGTTGCCAGCCAGAAGAGATCACGCTCGAACCGGCGTCCTTACACTCCTCGGCGCACCCATTTGCAAGTCGTCCATGACGATATCCGGGCGCGCTAGCTCATCCTCATCCGTATCCTCTTGCTCCTCTTTCTCTTCCACCCAATTTCTCACACTCATCATCATAAATTTCTTCGCATCAGCCTGGTGTCGCATCAGCATCTTCGCCAGCCCAGTCCCATCGACATCTCCTTGGGTAAGGACAATATCTGCCTTTTCAACCTGGCCGAAACGGTGCTTCTTAATTTTCTTCAGCGAATCCTCATCATACCAGCAGGCGTGTCCAGGCGAGACATAGATCAAAGAGTTGCTTTGATACCAGCGAGAAAGCGTAGGGTCGGTTTCAGATTTGACGGGTCGAAGGGCGCCAGTCACAAAAGAAACGATTCCAGCAATCTTGTCCTTAGCACCATCTATGGAACGTTAAAAGATACAGACGTAAGTATACCACGGGACGGTAGATACGAACCTCTTGCGACCAATAACTGCTTGATGCCAAAGTAGGCGTCACCAACACCCATCAGCGTGATACTTGCATCGCGATTCAGTTCGAGGTAATTATCCCAGATAAAGCAAAGCAAATCTCGCACTTGCGTTCCCATGGTGCCTTCGGTCGGCTTGGGCACATACGGGTCAGTGTCGGAAGGTTGCGAGATGTGCTGTGGGCAGTTGATGTCGATGACGCCAAAGCCATGATTGATGGCCCAGTCGATGTAAGGGAGAATTCCTTCCGTCTTTAACATCTTTAGTCTCTGTTCAAGCTTGTAGAATCTCATACTTACCACAAATGAGTTATGTGCGTCGACAGAATTATCGTAGGGATCTGGCTGGGCGTAGACCTGAGGTCTAGTTTTGTCGGTTAGGAAAATTATCGTGCTTGACAAGAGGAACTTACGGATCATGAATGATTAGCAAGATCTTCTTCGCCCTATGCAGTTCAGGCGTAACTAGAACCTGATTTTCAAAAGACCGACTGATCTTTGTCCGCTGGATGTACAGAGGAATCATGTCATGCTTCTCAGCAAGTCCGATCTTCTGTGCAGATCGGATGATATCGCTCATTCGACTCATTCCCATCTCTTTTAGAGCCGAAAGCGGGAGAACGCCTGGTCGCATGCACTCCCAGTACGCCGATTGTATCCTCTTGACATTTTCAAGAGTGTGCGCAGCAGCCTTGTTGAGAGGTGGGATCTTAAGCCGCATGGGAGGCTCACCCATCAGCGTCTTCGCAACAGCGAGTGCGGATCTTGAGATGGCTCCCAAGTTGTACCCACCCTCTAAGCAGACAGCTACCTTTCCGTTGGCGAGCGACATGAGCATGTGCGTCATGTGGGAATAGCAAGCTTGAGAGACCCAACATCCTCCCAGATCGTCGCCAGCCGCAGCGTCAAAGCCTGCCGAGACGATGACCAAGTCTGGATCGAATTCCTGGGCAATGGGCATCACGATCCTCTGGAAGGCCGCCATGTATTCCCCATCTCCGACACCTTGTTCTGGCCAGCCGATATTGATGTTCTTTCCCAACCCCTTCCCCACACCACACTTATCAAGGCCACCATCCGGAATTCCGTCAATCTCGGGCTGACCTGGGTAAAATGACCCGTTCATGTATACATGGATCGAGATGTAGAGCACGTTTGGGTCGTCGTAAAATATGTTCTGGATTCCGTTGCCATGGTGGACATCCCAGTCAAGAATCAGGACCTTCCGGCAGGATTCTGGATAGTCTGCCATACAGATTCGGGCGGCGATTGGGACGTTATTAAAGATGCAGAAGCCCAACGACTCGTTGTGCTCGGCATGGTGACCAGGTGGACGGATGACGGCAATCGCGTTCTTCACTTTACCAGCGACGATATTTTTGCACGTCTCGATTGCTCCACCCGCAGAGATCAAAGCAGCCTCGTATGTGAGGTTACCAACATATAGAGACTTTCTTCCATTGTCGTAGTCGTTGGTAAGCTGCCTTAGGTCTTCGGAGGACATCTGAGATAACGATCTAACCCATTCGAAATGCGATGCTGTATGCACCGTACAGATTTCTTCCCGAGTCGCCTCCCTCGCAGCAATCCTCCACATATACTTGCTTGGGTCGAGCTTGATCTCATTCTTGACCTGGATCTGTGATCGTTCCAGAATGAGACCATGAGTCTTGAACTCTGTCATGATCGCCTCTATCCGGCGGGGATCTTCAGGATGGTGGGGGCTTGAGGAAAAATCTGCGTTGGCATGAAATTTCATTCTATCATCGTAGCAGCATCCCGTAGGCAAGCCCGCCTTCCGAATAGCAACATCTTTGGCTTTTTGAGACGTGGGTTGTAATTTCGATTGTGATCCGTCGTCGGTCGCATCTTGGGTCGATCCAGGAGTCTCAGACCCTCTGCTTCGGGCAAGGACTCGAGGATCCACGGTGCCAGTTTTGATAGCGCCGTTGCTGATGTGCGCCTCTTCATTGGTGTCCATGAGCACGTCCATGTCGGTCGTTTTGAGTTGGTTGTTAATGATCTAAGAAGGTTTGTGACCCGGTGCTTAAAAAAAAAGCCTTGGTCGGAGAAGGGAGAAATAGAGAGGCTAAAAATTCGTAATCGAATGCAAAAGCGATGAAGAAAACGTAGGACTGTTATGTAACGACGCTTCTGCAACTGACTCGTCACGACGAAAACAAAGGAGCTGATCTGTTCTTGAGCTGCACTAGCGAAGTGCGTAGGATTCCTATATCTTCAGATTTCATCAGCATCGAGACTTTGAAGAAGATTTATCCGATAGCCGATTACCTCTTCGAGGAGGGAACGGACATCAGCCAGGACAGCAAAACAATTGTCGACAGGCCAAGCAATTAATGATACAACACGACCAACAGCAGTGATAGTAGGAACGACAATGGATAAATAATAATCATATGACGCGAGCCCTTCCGCTCCCCCATCCCCGATCTCCCTTCTTCTTTCCCGGCCCGTGACTCGAATTAACCGAAACAGCAAAGCTCAGCGCAAAAGCAGGAGTAGGAGAAGGAGAAGTAAACAATGATTGCAGAAGACGACAAAAATTGATGGTAAATCACGCGACTTACCAAGTTCCTAGCTGCAGGTATCAAATCCCATTGGCCGCCCGGTACTCTTCGAGTCCCACCCTCGTCGTGACAAGTCCGCGGTTTCTACCTTGCGAGCGACAGCGGAGCTAGGATTCCGCCAGAATTTTCCTTAATTCCAAGGGTTGGCGGAGGAGAAGAAAGTTTGTTGTTGTGGTGGTAAGGCCGTGGGGTAAGTAAGTCCGGAGTTTTGGAGATTGAGAGACGCGATAGGAGCTTGGGCCACCGTCGCGGTGGGATGGTATAGGCGAAGTTATAGCCTGGTGGCCTCGCGATGGTAAATAAGGCTGCCGTATTTGCTCGGAAGCGAGTTGTAGCTTGAATAAAAGCTATCAAGACCGTATTAGAGCAACCAATAACAGAAATTTGCCATTCCAACTTCGAGCTCTCCCGGAAGTTTTCAAGCCATAAAGCCAGCACAATATCCATCCCCTCTCATATATATAAGGTACATATATACCTATACCCATCCCATAAATCCTCAAATTATCCCCTCGACAATCCAGGCCATTCATTCAAACCCCAACCCCAACCCCAACCCCAACAACAACAACAACAACAACAACAACATCCCCTTCTTCTTCCTCTTCACAGCCCCTCCCCCCTCCTCCGAGCCGAGTAAAGCAACTCCCACATCCAAATCCTATCATATCCAGATCTTGTCAGGAAGGGAGGGCGATTAGATGGCTGACTCATCTTCATCAACCGGCAACCGGCGACCTCCTTCCATCTTTGCCGTCTGGTTCTATATCTAAAGGCTGCGTCTGAGGTCGACTCGTGTAACCGATTGCCTGGATGATTTTTGGGGAAGCATTGATACATGAGGAGCGGCTCTTTACCGCTTCTTTCAAGCCCATGTTACTGATCCTTGCTTCTTGGAGGCCACGCCATGGTGTGCAGGATGTACAGAGGAGTACCTGTCTGTAGATTGGAGAGAAGGACGAAAGGATGAAGGAAGGGCAGAAGAGAGAAGAGGAGTGGAGGAAGAGAGGAGAGAGATAGAAGGAAAGCGGGGTTCCTCATGTCGCAGCCATCTCGCAAGCAAGGAAGGAAAGAAAGAGCCTCAATATAAACTGGGCACCCACCGAAAAGAATGCCAGCAATGTAGAAGCCACACAGAATGAATAGTGTACACAAGGTTGCATTTTTCTATGCGAGCGCAGCATAATCTATGTCTACGCGCCTTCTCAGGCTTCCTAACCAATCCCTCCGGACCCTCACTGCCGCTGCCAATGTTTTATCCCTAAGCTTGAACAGCTGCGCCCTCAAGAGAATCCTCAGTTGCCGGCGTCAATCTTAGCAATGTAGCTGAGGAGGTCGAGAACGCGGCGGGAGTAGCCCCTAGATTAGAATGGGTCAGCAGCTGTGATACAGACATGTTTTGGTGGGGGAAGGGACGATTTCTCGGATCAGACTGAATGCAAGACAAAGAAAGCTGGAACCAGAGACTGCAAGTGAGGCGGGTGAATAAAATGGGACGACTAACCATTCATTATCGTACCACGACACCAGTTTTACGAAGTTCGGGTTAAGTGAAATTCCGGCCTTGGCATCGAAGATGCTAGAGTGGGTATCTCCGTTCAAATCGGTAGAAACAACATCATCTTCAGTGTATCCAAGAACGCCTGGCCTCAATTAGCAGGTGATTCAGGGTTGAAAATCTCAGCAGTCAAAATTACCCTTAAGAGGACCCTCGGAAGCCTTCTTGATGGCAGCCTTGATCTCATCGTAAGAAGCACCCTTCTCGAGGCGGACGGTCAAATCAACAACGGACACATTGGCGGTTGGGACACGGAGAGACATTCCCGTAAGCTTGCCGTTGAGCTCTGGGATAACCTTTCCGACAGCCTTGGCGGCACCAGTGCTGCTGGGAATGATGTTCTGAGCAGCAGTTCGGCCTCCACGCCAGTCCTTTGCAGATGGACCATCGACGGTCTTCTGGGTGGCGGTGTAGGAGTGAACGGTGGTCATGAGACCCTCGACAATACCGAACTCGTCGTTGATAACCTTGGCGAGAGGAGCAAGGCAGTTGGTGGTGCAGGAAGCGTTGGAGATGACCTCTACGTCGGACTTGTAGGTCTTCTCGTTGACACCCATCACGTACATGGGGGCGTCGGCGGAAGGTGCAGAGATGACAACCTTCTTGGCGCCTCCCTTCAAGTGAGCCTTGGCCTTCTCGGTGGTGGTGAAGACACCGGTGGCCTCGACAACGTAGTATGCACCCGTCTCGCTCCATGGGATCTCGGAGGGGTCTTTCTTGGCGTAGAACTTGACGAGCTTGCCGTTGACCTTCAATCCATCCTCGAGAGCCTCGATCGTGCCCTTGAATTGACCGTGGGTGGAGTCGTACTTGAGCATGTAGGCCTGCGGGAGTGATACGGCGTCAGCTTCATATTCATATTATGCTGTCTGTGTGTGGAAGTGTGAGGGGCCGGGAGCGGGGGCGGGGTAACTCACGGCGTAGTGGGGCTCAATGAAAGGGTCGTTGACGGCGACGATGTCAATGTCATTGTGCTCGATGGCATTGCGGAAGACGATACGACCGATACGACCGAAGCCGTTGATTCCAACCTTGGTAGGAGCCATGATTCTATGATACGGGTTAGATGGTTCAGCTCGATTTTTTTTTTTTTTGGTAAGCTCGACGAGGGGCAGTAGCTGTAGCTGTAGCTATAGCTGTAGCTGTGGCCGTAGCTGTTGCTGGTGGAGTGTTGGAGGTGAGAGATCTGGAGAAATACTTACATTTGATATGAAGTTGTTGGGGGGGTGTTTTTTTTCTGGTTAGGGAGAGATGTATGAAGAGGGAAGAGTTGGGAGATATTGTGGGAAGTGGGAAGATGAACAGTTCACGGCCGATGGTGGGGGTTAAAGCAATTGGTTGAGCCAAGGACTAAGAGCTAGCTAGCGCCATATCACGGGGTACGGGCGCTAGTAGCTTGGTAAGGTGCCGGTAGCTGTGGGTGAGGAATCTGAGGATGAGGATGAGGAGGACAAGGCAAGGCAAGGCAAGGTTTGACTCCTGCTCATGAGCTATTGATCAGCTACCTACGCCTACGTCGGCTGTTTTTTGTGCTTGTTTTGCTAATCCTATCTACCTACCTACCTACCTACCGACCTACCGACCTACTTTTTAGTTTGTTTTTATATACTACGATATACTACGATATACACCTATCTAGCTTGCGACCCCAAGGACCCATCCATGACCTCAAGACTTGTATGATCCAAAGAAAAGCCTCTGCGACAAAGTCTCACCAGATGTGCCAGCCATCACCTACAGCGACAGGAGTCACGAGTACGGATTCCCCTATTCTCTCCGATGTAGGCACCATACCGGTACCAACAACCGCCGCTGCTCCGGGGATGAGCGACGATGCCCAGCTTTGGTCGAGCAGATGGCCTCACTCCCGCTCCCACAGGAGCATTTGCGGGAGAGGTCGGTCGGTGCCACTGCCCACGTGCCAGACCACCGACTCCCGTTCCCCTCCCTCTCCCCACGATAATCCGGATAGCAACCAGTCTAATAGCGAGCCCGGCCGAGCATTATCGCGAGTGTATTGTCATCGTCTTCATGACGAAAATTTTCAAGCCGCATGACAGTTGAACTTGATCCTGACTTCCTGGCGGATGAGGATGCAAGCTCGTACCCGTCTCTGCCCCATCTGGCCGGCCCGGCTGGGCTGCTTCTTAGTGTGCAATGTGCAATGCACCACTCACCAGCCGGGCCAATAGGAACATCAACTCAAAACATCAAAACAGGCCATACAGTAGCGGAAATTCACACGTGTCGCGATGATAAGTATTACTACGCTATGATGCCATGAGCTGCTGCCTGGAAAGAAGACAGAAAGAGGGCTCACATCACCTGACCTCCTCTCACCCAATCCAGATATCTATATCACGTGACTATGATACCCACTAGTTGATAAGGTGGTGGAGCTAGAGTGGGGGGCTGCTAAGCGACGATTAGCGACAATAATATACTACGTACAACTATGCGGGACTTGCGTCATTGGGTTCGACCTTGATAAGTAGACGGTTACCTTCTCGCCCTGTTCACTCGACCTTGAGATCAAGCCGAGATTCGCTTGGTCCGCTGGGTGTTATCCTCCATCGCTATCTCAACCTCAACCTCAAACTCAGTCTCAGTCTCAAATTCAACACGGAACGACTAGACAGACTAATGTCCCAACTCCATTCCAATAATAAGTGCGACGTGCAACAAAACCGATTCGGGTAACTCGGAAATATGCTGCAAGTCCTAGGTACGTACTAGTAGTTCGAGACATCGACAAGGGGTGCCACGATAGAATGGACCCGTCTCGAGAGCGGCGAGGTGACTAAAGAGCTCGGCTTTGCAAAGAGAGTTGTCGGCTGAAGTGGATTGTACTCAAAGGTTCCAACTCGACGTCATCAAGTGACAGTCGACTGAGGCCACTGCGAAGCCATCCATCCTAGCCACCTTGGGCGAAATGGCTGATCTCTTGCGGCTTCTCGTTCGCGCGTCGATGGGATGATCGAATTTTGGACTCGGAGCTGGCGGCAGAGGTCAAAAGGGTGGCTTTGTTGGTGTCAAGTTCCACCCACCTACCCATGGCCGCTTTCGAGCTGTGAATCAAGATATAGCTTGCTGGCTGGTACTCTACGACTGGTCGTTCGGGCTAATCACCACTGCATCATCGACAGGATTCTTTACAATTATCTCGCAAGATAACGCCAACGGACACGCTGCTCGATTCACACTGAGTAGTAAAAGTTCAAAAGTTTTTAGTATTGAGCCGATCGGATAGCTACAACTAGCTTTGTCTCTCGATCTTAACCCGATTGAAGCGGTCTGAGATTGGATACATGATTATATTCAAGAGAAATACCCAAAAGTTTATCAGATCAAAACTACTTCCGATTAAAACAAGTTGTTTGATAAGGGTAAGATTCGGTCGATAAAGATAAAGTTACAGCTTAGTAGCTTAGTAGAATGAAAGCTTATTGAAACAACGAGAACGAACTGTACAATGGTATTTATCTTTTAGCGAGCAAGGATATGCCTCGGACCCGGCTCCCCGGCATGTACGGAGTAGAAACTCTTGTACTGTGTACTACTACTACTACAATAATATATGTAACCTACCATCCCATCCCTTTAATGAATACATAGCAGATTTTCTTTCTCAGCCCTCAAACAAAGCTATGTGTTGAAAAAGGGAAAGTAGAAACCCTCGATCTCGAATGGCCAGCAATCCACAGAAGCCCCCTTTTCAACGATTCGCACTTCATTATCGTCCGTAAAGGTAAAGGAGAAAGGTGACGTCCCCCATACCTCGCGGATACGGTTGCGTACTCAGGTTCTCCAGCCTCCAAAAGTCCGAACTAGGTACTACGTAAATCCCTTATGCAAGCCGCGTAGTACCTTGGCTACCAGAACATGATGCTTTGAGCGCCTTCCACGCTTTGGTTTTCTGCTCTCATCTGTCTTTCTGGACCCTGCTTGTTTGTTTGCTTGGCTCTACTTATTGCTTGCTAAGCTGCCCTTGCTGCTTTGGAGGATACCTACTCTTTTGCCAAGAGAGGACTGGTCTCGCATGGCATCTACTCCGTCGGCCAGGTTTGACCAAGTACCTACTCGGTCTTTGTAGTTGTGTTGGTCTGAGCCGTGAGAGATTTGGCCGTCGAAACCGCTATTTTGTAACTACCTATTCCTAAAAGTAAGTTGTGAAGTTGGTTTTCGGTTCTATTCTTACGCTACTTTTCAGTGGGCTGTAGCGCTCCCATCGGTTACATTCCACGTTTCGATGGACCTAGCACTCTGCGGCTCAATGGAAAGTCCGAAGCACTTCCTCCCCAGGGAAAATATTAAGTAAGTACTAAGTACTACTCACATCCTCAGGGGTGCTTAGAACCTTACAGCACCGCGTCGGAAAGAAAAATCTCATTGTCAAAGTGAAAACAACTAATATAATCGGGATTTTCAGCTTGCTTGACGGCAGGTGCTCTCCCGACGTCCCCTTCTCTACTCTTGTCATCACGTATATCCTCGCTTGGAACAAAAAAAAGTTGTGCATTCTGTATCAGTTCGAGCAGCTCTTACGTCCAACGCTATAGGGCTTGGGCATGACTTGAGCTTATGCGGCCTGTGTGTAAGAGCAGCGTCGGAGCTCGCAATACTTGCGCTTTGCTCCTGGATGCTATCAATGTCCAAATAAAAGGCACGAACCCCCCCCCACCGCGGGAAAAAGTAGCTGAGAGATGTATAAAAAACATGGTGCAAACACAAAAGAGCATAACCCGAAGCTAGAATAGAAGTGACGAAAAATCGTGGTGTCTTTGAAAGTCGGATATGCGTGACAGCGCATATCTGGTGTTACTATTACTCGTGCGACCAGCAGGTCTATCCCATTATCGAAAATTATCCCCCGTATACTCCTCCGTAGACGCCCTTCCCGTTACATTACAAAGCCTAACATGTTCTAGGCGTCATTGATCCATGATGGAACCAAAGCTTCAGGACTCGGTAATCCAATCTCTCCCTTGATATTCCAACTGTCCCAATTGACAGTTTTGTCCGAATATGCCAATAGCTCCTCCTTTGTTTTGAAGCATTCAGACCATAATTCCAACTCGTCTTTGTTTACCACCTCAGTTGGAATGACCATCTGCATGTTGTAGCCCTTGGATGCGATATATGAAAAGCGAAGCGCTTTCTCGCCACCTTGACTATGTCGTATATATTGCCAGATGTATTCCATGATGTAGCGATCGCCTGCGAACCATAATTGGATTTCCTGGCGCCGACCATTTTGGTACGTATTTTCGTAGTATTCTGGGATGTATACTTTTTGCGCCTCTTCCATCTTCTCGCGATCGGCTTCGACAACACAGTACCAGTTCTTGACTCTTGGATCACCTTCCCAGAGGGCAGGTACTTGTGCTATTTGAAATATTAGCTTGGCGTGCTACGTATAGGTACCCACCCATAGATATCATAAATCAACTCACTCAGAGAGAAGCCGGTCCCCAGTTGATTTTTAAATTGGCGGATCTGACCGAAAATTAAGTCTCTAGTTGGCTTGTTCTTTTCATTGATCTTCGCGGCTTCCAGCTATCATTCGCGTGATTAGTATAAGCTTACATCGTATCAACCAAAGTGACACTTACTGGGGAAACTGTTCGATAGCCGATAACTTCTCTATCGTAGACTACTTGACCAATGACTCCTCCTTGCGCTCTACTAAAGAGAAAGCTGAAGACAAGCAAGATCGCGCAAAGAGATTTCGATGGTGACATCATATTTGCAATTATCCGAAATAGTATTAGAGAAAGAAGTTTCGGAGAGATAACGAAAGGGAACAAGCTTGCAAGAGCGGAAGGATGATTAGGAGTTCTGAAAGGCAGCGGAGGAGAGAATATATATCTCTCTCTTTAATTGATTCTATCTACTCATTTTACTAAAAATGGCAACGGACAAGTAACTTCTATTTTTATTCAACGACCATCTCCCATACGAAGTCGTGACGCTGGGTTAAGTACTTAGTATTGGTAAATTTGACTTGGTATTTAAGATGATTTTCGACATGGGGACAGATATGCTGGCCGCACGAGTAGGTACCGGTACCTACCGGTAGGTATGTACTACCGGTATGCACAGATGTACAGCGACGCCCGTAGATGTGCGTGTCCCCGTTGGCAACCCTCTCCCCAAGCTGCACAGTAATACTTCATCTCTGTCAGTTCTGTCAGTTCTGTCAATCCCGTCAATCCCGTCAATCCCGTCAATCCCGTCAATCCTGTCTTCCTACTGCCCAGTTCCCCATTGAGAAACCCAGAATAGGGCGAACGAGGATGCTTCGTAAACCTGATCAGAAATACTACAAGTACTACGTACGTCCCAGGTGTAAGTATTACCCCTCGAGGGTTGGGTAACCAGGGGGTTTAAAGTGGAAACTAGACTTTTGAGGCAGCCTCGAGGGGTAATACTTACCGGTAGGCCCCGTACCATGGTATCACGGAAAAGCGGCCCCGCTTAATATAGTAAGTAGCTCGCTAAAAGCAAATACCTTACGATGTGGACTTCGCCTCACAGGATCACAGCCCCATCTTCTATTCCTATTTTCATCTCAACACAACGCGCAACCTCACAGCTCCCCCTGACCTCCAGCAAATCTTTGTTGAGAATCTCCGAGATCCAATTGAGTAGCCCTCATTACCGCCGCCCATCTCCAGCACCCACGATGTTCCGCCAATCCGCCCTCCGCAGCTCGCGGGCCCTCGCCCTTACACGGCAAACGGCGACAGTGCAGAAGAGAAGCGCGCACGCCGTCTCCAACCCGATGCTGGCGAACATCGAGAAGCGGTGGGAGACTATGCCGCCGCAGGAGCAGGCCGACCTGTGGATGGCGCTGCGGGACCGCATGAAGGTGAACTGGGCCGAGATGACGCTGCAGGAGAAGAAGGCTGGTAAGGTCCATCTCTTCTTCCTTCCACATCACACATTTCAAATCTGCGGAACACATAAAATCTGGGCTGTGGGGGTGACACGCGTTGGAAGCTTGATGATGGCATCGGGGGAGGCAATTGGAGTGGGATTCGGAATCTGGACTTGGGGTTTGAGTATGGGGGAAGCAGGAAGAAAAGCAGAAGAATTGACATAGACAGCCATGGATGTCAAGTGAAAGAATGATTGCTAATTGGATTGAAAAACTATAGCCTACTATATCGCCTTTGGCGCTCACGGCCCCCGCGCTGAGCCTGACCCCAACGAGGGATGGAAGGTCTTCGGATTCACGTGTGCTGGAGTTGGCGTCTCGGCCGTTCTGTTCGGCTTCATACGCTTTTTCGCAAAGGGTAGCCCCAGCACGATGAACAAGGAGTACCAGGAGGCCACGAATGAGTACCTGAGGGTATGTCTGTCCACTTCCCACCCCCATCCTCTGCTCTGGTCTACATGATATGGTGGAGAGCTCTTGGGGAGACATGAGAACGGAGCTATACGGGATCGCAGGATAGCTTTACACACCCCCTCTGGTGTGGAATGAAAAGCTGACATTTACGTGTGACGCACAGGCACAAAACTCCGAACCTATCTCCGGTCTCTCGTCCGAAGGCTACGTCGGCCCGGGAATGGTGCAGAGCGCGCCCAAGAAGAAGTAGAGCGAGCATCCCACCAAACCACCAACCGCCGGCATTCTATTCACCACTGTACACTCACACTCAATATCTTCCCGTTTCCTTTGTCTTTGGTGCATGGGAGGAGAGAAAGTGAGAGAGTGCTCCGTGCTTATAGGTGTGTCGTGGAGGTGTGTCGTGGAAAGTCTTTGCGTGAATGGATTGATAGACGGCGGACGTGGTATGGATATCAAGTGCTTATGTGAAGGGGATGAGGTGTTGCATGGAGGGAGGGTAGGTGATGGGGTGGAATGGGAGAGAGGATAGGGGAGGGGAAGCTTGTACAAAGTATTCGTTCTTTTTTTTTCCTTTTTTTTTTTGCCTGCGCGTTAGAGAATGAATAGAGGGTTCGTGACCTAATAACGACTTCTGCTTGTTCACTCTGATGGCTCCTTGATTCGTTCATGCATGAGGGAGGTGAAGGAAGGTGATCGGAGGTTCTAGAGTCTGTCCTCAGTTCTTCATGTTTGCATATCTGTTATTTCTGGCTGCATCAGGTAATACCTATGGATCGACCATGCTGCATCTAAGCCCCTCCATAAACCACACAGCACACGTAGGTATGCATGCATGCATCATCAGATATCCCTCCCCTAACGCCAAGTCGCAACTCCTTCAAAGCTCAAATCCATGCTTTGCCTCGAATGACTCAAAATCCCAGTGCAGCCAGCCAACCCATCAACCCGTAAGTCAGTCAGCCAGCAAGTAAATTCTTACCTACATGCCACTACTCCCCAGCCGCCTGAAATTCTCAAAGCCCCCACCCTCATCCTTCTCTCCCTCCCCCTTCCCCTTCCCTTTCCCTTTCTCGTTTGCACCCCGAGCCTCGCCCTCGTTTCCATCTTCATCTCCGTCTCGCCTCTTCCATGCCTCCTCCTCCTCCTCCCACGCTTCCTCGAAAGCCCGGCTCTGGCCGCGGCTCCAACAACGCGGCATCTTTGCATGCCCCTCCCCCTCGTCATCAACATCTTCCTCTTCCTCTACGGAAGAATGGTGCTGGTGCTGTCCCCGCACGAACGCTTCGTCGACGAGACAGAAGCGGATGGCGCTCCCGGGGCCATGGTACATGATTTCCGATAATAGAGACTCGACGATGCTGCGGAGGCCGCGGGCGCCGATACCGCCTTGCCCACTGATACTAGCACCTTTCCCGTTAGGTGAGGAAGCGGAAGCGGAAGAGGCAGGGTGGAGTGCGCGCTCGGCAATGGCGTGGAGAGCCCCCGTGGTGAATTTCAGCTGGATACCGTAGGTGCTGAATAGAGCCGTGAACTGCCTGACGAGGGAGTTTCGGGGGGCGGTCAGGATGGTGATTAGCTGGTGGAGGGAGAGCGGCGACAGCGGAACGGTGATGGGGATGCGGCCAAGAAGTTCGGGGATCAAGCCGTAGGTTTGGAGGTCTGAAGGGAGGACTGAGGCGAGGATGTTGGGCTCTTTTCTTTTTACTCTTCTTTCTGGTGTAGGTGAGGATGAGAGTAGTTTTGGGGATGTTGATGAAGGGGAGGATTTAAGCTGTGCTCCGAAGCCAAGTGATGGTCCTGTTGATAAGCGAGAAGATATGATCTTTTCTAGTCCAACGAAGGCGCCGGCGAATACGAATAGGATGTTTGTCGTGTCAATGGTGTATTGCTCGCTCTTCCCCGCTTGCTGAGCTGATTCCCTTCCACGATCGAGTCCCCGCCCTGCATTTTCAGACTTTGAATTCCGGTCTGATTTTGCGTTTACGGTGACGGTGGCCCCTTCTATCATTTTCAATAAGCCTTGCTGCACGCCTTCGCCGGAGACGTCGCGGCCATGGGTCATGATGGCTGGTTTGGCGAGTTTGTCTACTTCGTCGAAAAAGATGATTCCCGTCTCGCATTTTTGGATCGAGTGAGATGAGGCGAGGAGGAGGCGTTCGATGGATGACTCGATGTCAGTTCCTATGTAGCCTGCTTGTGTTAGGGAGGAGCAGTCGACGGTTGCAAAGGGGACTTCGAGGACGCGGGCGAGGGTGGACAGGATGTAGGTCTTTCCCACGCCAGAGGGACCAAGCAGGAGGAGGTTAGACTTCTCGATGGTAGTTGGGGAGTCCTGTGGGAGGGGGAGGGAGCCGAGTTCTGGCGAGGGAGAGGGTGGTGGTTGGGCTTGGGCTTGGAATTGAAATTGGGCGTGGGAGCGGTAAGGATGGGGGTTGTTGAGGTCTACGCTTTCTATATGCCCTGGGTATTCATCTGGAAGAATGTAAATAACTGTGAGATACCGGTATTTGAACGGGTGTAGATGATCAGGTGACAACATACTTTCAGCAGGATGCGCGTTCCGCTCCCTCTCTCTCATTTCCCATCGATGCTGCTGGTCGACCTTTGCCTCTTCTTCCTCCTCAAGCCGCCGCAGCTCTCGAATCCGTTGATAATGATTGAAGATGGCCACTGAAGTGACCTTCTTGGCCTTGTCCTGCCCAACGATATATTTATCCAGGTGCTCCTTCAGCAACGAGGGAGTCAGACGTTGAGTTCCAGATCCATGACTCGAAGCTTTTGATAGCGGACCCTCTGTAGGCCTTCCCGTCTCATAGGAGCCTGTGAAGCCAGCGCTCTGGCTATGAAAGTCTGTACGGTAATACTGCGAGTCTCGGGATCGAGAAGCGGTGGTGGTGGAGAGCAGGTGGCGAGATGATGCGAGTTTGGATTTGGAAGGAAATCTAGGGAGTCTAGTAGGGCGTGTGGGGAGAGGGAGTGTCCGGATCATGGGCAGCATATTGCGAGAATGAGAGCTGGATGATCATAACTGCTCCATGAAGGTTGGTAAGGGAAGCTGTACTGTACCGAGTAAATCTAGATAGACAAGATAGATAGGTAGGTAGATACACGTGAGTTGAGGTTGGGTCGAGTCGAGCCAAACATGGGGAGTCACGTTTGCGAGGAGAGCTGCGATGAAGCGAGATCGGGGGAGTGGGGCTGAGGGGGTGGGGACGGGGACGAGGATGGGGATGGGGATGGGGATGGGATGGGGAAAGGTCGGATGCGTCTGAAAGTCCTGAGGGTGTTGAGGGTGTCGGGTTCTCATGAAGAGGGATCCGAGTTTGTACAATGTTGCACAGGAAATATTCCAAACTCAACCCAACTCCCTTTTTTCCCTTTTTTCCCTTTTTCCCGAGCATCGACGACTTCGATGTCACGTGTATTGCCGTGAAGACGAATTGAAATTGTTGGGCTGCTGCTCCTGGTCCCACTGCTGGCCAGTCCCACTCCTGGTCCTTGCCCAGTCCGACGTCATAGGCGGGGAGAGAAGTTCAACTCCAACTTACCCGCAGCATCGCTCGTTCATTGGGTTCAGTGGGAAGGAGAAAAAAATTATTCGAGAGAGTCTTCCCATCTGTCCATCTGTCCATCTTCCTTCTTTCCATACCTTCCAGAACTTTACAAAGATTCCTGCGATTTAAATTTCCACCTCCATCTTTCCATCAATCAGTTCAAGTGTTGTCGCAACGCAACTGCCAGTGTAAACAACCCTCCTTCCTGTACCTTCCCCTCCCGACAGCTCAACAGCATCTGCCCTCATCCCCCACCACATTCCCGGTACAACGGGAGACCACCATGGATGCCACCAACGAGAACTCCAAGAACTCCGTCCTCAGTGACGGGGCGGCGACTGGACTGCCCAACGACGGCACTGGTAAGCTGGGAGACCTTTTTTATTTTGGCAGGCAGACAGACAAACGGACAGATAGACGAACAGGCGGACAGACGAACAGGCAGCTGATCTCTCCAGGTGTTATCAAGCTCGATCCATGGCTTTCCCCCTTCGCGGACGAGCTGAAGAAACGCTATAGCACCGCGCAAGAATGGATCAAGAAGATCAACGAGACTGAGGGCGGATTGGAGAAGTTCAGCAGAGTTGGTCCTCCGCATACTATGTCTGCTGTGCGCAATCCACCACTGACTCTTCCCAGGGCCATGAGAAATTTGGGGTCAATGTGGACAGCCAGAACAATGTCACCTATAGAGAATGGGCGCCGAATGCAACACAAGCATTCTTTATCGGTGAATTTAGTATTTCTCCCTCCTCCGTAGCAGACTTCCTCCGTGTGGATAGACAACTGATGCTGGGTAGATGAGTGGAGCAGGGAGTCTCATCCTATGAAGAAAGATCCCTATGGTGTCTTCGAAGTGGTGGTCCCAGCCGTCAATGGAGAGCCTGCCATCAAACACAACTCCAAGATTAAGGTAGGCCCTTACACCTACTCTGTACCTGCCCATGCGCTTGCTGACCTGGCAGATCTCCTTAGTTCTGCCCTCTGGAGAAAGAATTGAGCGTATACCTGCTTGGATCACATATGTCACGCAAGATCTCCACATCTCGCCCGTCTACGATGCCCGATTCTGGAACCCTCCCAAAGCCGAAAGATATGTTTTCAAGAACCCCAGACCAAAGAAGCCCGAAAGCGTGCGGGTGTACGAAGCACACGTTGGAATCTCTTCCCCGGAGCTGAGGGTTTCCACCTACAAGGAGTTCACAAAAAACATGCTGCCGAGGATTCATCACCTGGGTTACAATGTTATTCAGCTGATGGCAATTATGGAGCATGCGTACTATGCCAGTTTTGGATACCAGATCAACAGCTTCTTTGCTGCAAGCAGTCGATATGGCTCTCCTGAAGAGCTGAAGGAGTTGATTGATACGGCGCATGGTCTGGGGATTACAGTTCTGCTGGATGTAGTGCACAGCCATGCTTCCAAGAATGTGCTGGATGGGTTGAATGAGCTTGATGGTACGGACGCCTGCTATTTCCATGCTGGTCCCAAGGGTAAGCATGAGCTGTGGGACAGTAGACTGTTCAACTACGGAAGCCATGAGGTTCTCAGGTTCTTACTCAGTAACTTACGGTACTGGATGGACGAGTTTCAATTTGATGGGTTTAGGTTTGATGGTGTCACGAGCATGCTTTACACACATCACGGAATTGGAACGTAAGTCACAGACCTCTCGGAACGGGTTCATGCTGATAGCTACAGGGGATTCTCGGGTGGATACCATGAATACTTTGGCCCTAGTGTTGACGCTGAGGCTGTTGCATACCTTATGATTGCAAACGAGATGCTGCATGACCTCTATCCCGAGGTGATCACCATCGCGGAAGATGTGTCTGGAATGCCTGCTTTGTGTGTAGCTTTGTCGCTGGGCGGCGTTGGCTTCGACTACCGACTGGCGATGGCTATCCCTGACATGTGGATCAAGATCCTGAAGGAAGTCAAGGATGATCATTGGGATATGGCCAATATCTGCTTCACGTTGACCAACCGGAGACATGGCGAGAAGACAATTGCATACTGTGAGAGCCATGACCAAGCGTAAGTGACCTCAAGCTGCGTCCTGATCAATGCTAATAACATATCTAGGCTGGTTGGAGACAAGTCAATCATGATGCATCTGTGTGATGCTGAAATGTACACGAACATGTCCACCCTCACCGCATTGACACCTAACATTGAGCGCGGTATGGGTCTACACAAGATGATTCGACTCATCACCCACGGCCTCGGCGGAGAAGGCTATCTCAACTTTGAAGGCAACGAATTCGGCCACCCGGAATGGCTGGACTTCCCTCGCGCCGGCAATGACAACAGTTTCTGGTACGCCCGCCGCCAATTCAACCTCCCGGACGACGACCTCCTCCGCTACAAGTTCCTCAACGAGTTCGATGCCGGTATGCAGCACGTCGAGCAAAAGTACGGCTGGCTACACTCCGAGCAAGCGTACATCAGCTTGAAGAACGAAGCCGACAAAGTCATCGTCTTTGAGCGCGCCGGTCTCCTCTGGATCTTCAACTTCCACCCCACGAAGAGCTATCCCGACTACCGCGTGGGCGTCGAGAAGGAGGGCACGTACCGCGTGGTGCTGAACACGGATGCCAAGGATTACGGCGGCTTCGAGAGGATCGATAGTGGGACGAGGTTCTTCACGACGCCGTTCAAGTGGAACGAGAGAGCGAACTTTACGCAGGTTTACATCCCTACTCGGACTGCCATTGTAGGTTTTCCATTTTCCTGCTGTGTTGTGAAGGCGGCGAGCTTCAGGCTGACAAGTGATTGACAGGTTCTGGCGCTGGAGTCAACATTGTGAATGGAGTGGGTGAGGTAACCCGTGGGCAAGAGCATGGCGTGAGTTTTTGAGTATGGGGGTAATATGATGTGACGCCAGGTTGGGCTTACTTATCCGCCTGTTTAGGTAGGCACAGGTTGGCTGTGAGATGGCTAGCTTGCATGCTAGTTTTTTTTTACACTAAAAGTTGCATTGATCGAGTTCTCGAACGCTAGAATTGATATCGATGGTTTGCTTGTCACCTATTTGGTCATGATTGGGGACTCGGGAGGACTGGAGTGCAGGGAGTATTTATTTTACGGGCTTCCGAATCGCTAAATTCAGGATTTCCGTGGCTGCTGCTGGGGCATTTATTCTTTGACATACACGATGCACGGTAGATAGCCTAGCTATATGATTCTGGATGCCAAGGGCAGAATTTCTGTATGCTTTAGCGCTCAGGAAAAGAATTTGAAGATGGAGGAATTGCCAATTGAAGAAGGGCCGGGTTTTGTTTTAGCTAGAGAAGAGTTTCTTGACGGAACAGCTGATCTGAAGCCTGTTGTGACGCTTGTGAGGTATCTGGATTTTGCATTTTGTTGTGATCACTGCTCGCCCGCTGCTTGGAGGTTTGGAAATCGTTATAGCAGGCAATGGAGATGTTTATATCGAAAGATTCAAGGAGATGTCATGACGGAAGGCAGAAAAGTAAGGGAGTGGTTTGGATATAAATATAGCTACTACCTTGCCGCCGGAGAATGGCGGGTAACTTATCTGATGTTGCCCACTACAGTATGTGAAGGACAGTTTGATAGTATTGATAGTGAGCTGCAGGCAGGTAATGTAATCCATCAGTAAATTTCCCTAGAACGTATACATCACCTCCCAAGTTTCAAGCTCATAAAAACTAAAAGCTAAAAACTAAAAACTAGAAATTATCTCCAAGTCCATTCGTCTCCACCCGGCAAAGTCCGGGTAGCTCTGGATTTTTTGCGCCAAGGCGCTACTTTCCCGTGACTGTAAGACCTCTCATTTGCTGTCGAGCTCACCCTCCCAAACTCTCCATCCATCCTCCGTCGAATTACGCATCCCCTCTGCCATCTCCATCGCTCTTCTCCATCATCAAGATGTTCAGGAGGTATGTTTTCTCTCCATTTTAGCTTGCTCCAGCCTTCCGCCGGGTCTCAATGGCTCAGCTCGGGGGAGCTTTGCCTCCCCGGCGGCTCGTCAACGAGGCCTCAACATGGATTCAATTGAATTGAACCTGACTGACACGACCCGTTAAGAACTCTTTCACAATCGGCCCTCCGAGCCTCGAAAAGCGCCTTTGCGAAGCCGGCTGTCTCATTCGGTCTGCGAGCTGCAAACGCGCGTTTCGCGAGTGACAGCGCAGCCCTTTCCGGCAAGATCCATCAGGTTATTGGTGCCGTTGTTGACGGTGAGAGGCCCCCGAGACCCTTACAACCACTTCCATAATACTCGGAGGGAAATACGAATCGCGGAGCGTCGCACGGGTATGTTACTGACGCTTTGTGACAGTAAAATTCGATACCGACAAGCTTCCCCCGATTCTCAACGCCCTTGAGACCAACAATGGTGGAAACAAGTTGATCCTCGAGGTCGCAGTACGTCAAGAACATACACACACATCATTGAAGAGGGACTGACAGCTCGAATAGCAACATCTGGGAGAGAACGTCGTCAGATGTATTGCTATGGATGGTAAGAATTCCTGTTGTGATAATAAGGCTGAAGGCCAAAATTGACACGATGCACACAGGTACTGAAGGTCTCGTCCGTGGCCACAAGGCTTCCGATACTGGCAACCCAATCATGGTTCCGGTCGGTTCAGGAACTCTCGGCCGCATCATGAACGTCACTGGTGACCCCATCGACGAGCGTGGACCCATCAAGCACACCAAGAAGCTCCCGATTCACGCCGATGCTCCCGCTTTCACCGATCAATCCACAGCTGCCGAGGTCTTGGTCACCGGTATCAAGGTCGTCGACTTGCTCGCCCCTTACGCCCGTGGAGGAAAGATCGGTCTGTTCGGAGGAGCTGGTGTCGGAAAGACCGTGTTCATCCAAGAATTGATCAACAACATTGCCAAGGCCCACGGAGGTTACTCTGTCTTCACCGGTGTCGGAGAGCGAACCCGTGAGGGTAACGATCTGTACCACGAGATGCAGGAGACCAAAGTCATCAACCTCGATGGTGATTCCAAGGTCGCCCTGGTCTTCGGTCAAATGAACGAGCCTCCCGGAGCCCGTGCCCGTGTTGCCCTTACCGGCGTACGTACCCCCTCTCATTTTTCTCGTCCATTTACAATATATCACAATGCCCGTATTTCATTCTGTCACCCATCTTTTTCTCACCTACGCTGTGCTGTCATCGATATCGGCCCCGCTATCTCTTGTTGACACCGTCCCTGATATCTGTTATTATCCTGTCGTCGGCTCACCTTGTTAATGAATGTCATCATGCTCTCGACCATGTCCATACGGTCGTCGCTACCCTTACTTGCTAACATTTTCAAAAGTTGACGATCGCCGAAAGCTTCCGCGATGATGATGGTCAAGACGTTCTCCTCTTTGTAGACAACATCTTCCGCTTTACACAAGCCGGATCCGAAGTGTCTGCTCTTCTTGGTCGTATCCCATCTGCCGTCGGTTACCAACCAACACTCGCCGTCGACATGGGTCTTATGCAAGAGCGCATCACCACCACCCACAAGGGATCCATCACCTCCGTCCAAGCCGTTTACGTGCCTGCCGATGATTTGACTGATCCTGCTCCTGCCACCACCTTTGCCCATCTGGACGCCACCACCGTGCTTTCCCGTGGTATCTCTGAGTTGGGTATCTACCCCGCCGTCGACCCTCTCGACTCCAAGTCCCGTATGTTGGATCCCCGTATCATCGGACAAGATCACTACGACACCGCCACCAAGGTCCAACAGATGCTCCAAGAGTACAAGTCCCTCCAAGATATCATTGCCATTCTCGGTATGGATGAGTTGTCGGAAGCCGACAAGTTGACTGTCGAGCGTGCACGAAAGATCCAAAGATTTTTGTCGCAGCCATTTGCCGTTGCTCAAGTTTTCACTGGTATTGAGGGTGTTTTGGTTGACTTGAAGGATACCATCCGGTCATTCAAGGCCATCATGAACGGAGAGGGAGATGACTTGCCAGAGGTAATTTATTCCAAGTCTCATTTATGTGGGTCCGCTCGCTAACATGAGAAAAGTCCTCGTTCTACATGGTTGGTGACATCGACCACGCACGGGCCAAGGGAGAGAAGATTTTGGCTGATCTTGAGGCTGGCAACTAGAGGGGCTAGTCACCGACAGGGGGGTAATAGAGGTGTGGAAAACCTACGCAGATGTGTACATTTTGAAGGAAAACCGGGGCGTGGGTAGGCAGCATTTCACCACGGGGCTGTGTACAAAACGACGGAAACCCCGATCCTCTTCAGAAGCACGCATCTCCTTAGCTTGTAACAAATTTCTCCTTTTTTTCCTAGCAGAACGCCTTTCCGCTATGCAGATGTGACTATTGTTGAGTATGCCCTTAAGTCGATGAGCGTGGAAGAGAAGGCAGCTCGTTTGTGCATGATTATGATATGTCCCAATTACACCCACAACAGGCCATTGCGACGGCAAGACTGTTGTATCTACATATCGCTGTACATATCCCTATCTACGTTTGCCTACCCAGCAGTACGATGGATATCGAAGAGGCTCCGCACAGTACAGTATTGCCTTTTCGCCGATTCAATATATCTACATCATTCCCCCCCCTCCCACCCCTTCTCTAAGATCGACTCAAACAGAAAAAAAAAAAAAAAAAAACGAAAGAAGTTAAGTATCGATTCTACCGTACCAAGTTAATCTCTCTCTAGCTCCTAATCCCTCCCTTATTGATTGGAGAGGGCTTGAGGATTATTACATCGGTACCTCATTTAACTCTGGGAAGCGGGCGGGATCTTGGACTCTTACCGTAAGTAGTAGTAGTAGTAGTATGGATGGATTACTTTATTTTGAGATGCTTTACTTTTTAGCATGACTTGTTTTCTGGACGTGTTTTCTGGATGGTTTCGAATATTTTGACTGTTCGCTTGAGGCTTTGGATGGTTTCCGTTGCTTTGATTCTTCTTCGTCTATTTTTTTTTTTTACGGCTCCGGACTTCGAGGTAGGGTAGCTGCTGATCTATCTGCCTGTGTTTGTGTTTTTGCACACTTGTATTTATCATTGATGTCCTGGATACACACCTATCCCCTGGACATCCTGCCCCCCCCCCCCCCCCCCTTCTGACAGCCACATTTCGCTGTGGTTCACTGTCCCGTAAGTGCCTTAGACGTGCACAGCAACTTGACGCCGGTTTCGCATATCATGTCTTGGACTTGCAAGTGCGATTCTCGCGGCCTGTATACATACAGTCTTGCAAAGCAAGTCCTGTTTCGTATGCAATGCATAGCACTCTGAACCACAGGCCTAGATCTTGGGGAATCACACCGTTTCGCTGGCTAGGAACGCCTGGATCCTGCCCCAGTTCCTCAAACATCTTGACCTCGACCACGGAACGCCGTCTTCACGACCTCGACACCGCAACCCTACGTCTCGAGGCGCTCAGGGGGTGACGAAGAGGCGCTAGCGACTCTTCTTCAGTGAGATGACTCTCGCGCCTCTCTCCCCGGCAGGTCATCTTCTCGAACCCCCTGACCAACGGCGGCTTTTCCCCAACTCATCCACGCATGCATGGTCGTGATCGGCATCGTGCGTGGCTGCTTGCTCCTGCTGAGGATTGTGGCGGCCGGAGGTACCGGTAGACAGAGGGTCCTCGAATGGATCAAGAGCAAGGCTTCTCTTCTGCTGGATGGGGAGTGGGCGCGACGACCCCGGATTTGAGCTCTTGGTGGGCTTGCGCTCTTGCCCTGCGCGTGGGTGCTATTAGACGTCGCTTGCTTGCTGGCTGGCTGGAACGCAGGGAGCTTGGCTGCTGCAGAGTGGGAGTGGGAGTGGGATTATGAAGTGAGGAGAAGAAGAAAGGAACGGAGGTGCGGGGGGACTAGCTCGTCTTTTGAGTCCGAGAATCTTGTAGGGTGGAAGATTCCAAGTCACGTATAGTAATTTGGGAAGTCGACACCTCACTGTTTCTACTGCCGAGCCTGGTATGAGCTTAAGGTTCTCTGACTTACCTTCAATTCCTAGATGAAATGTGTATGCAAATGCAACTTTTTTTTTTTCTTTTCTTTCTTCTTTCTTTTTTTTTTCTTAGAAGCATAACGCCACGAGAATCCACCTTTCAGGTGAACGCCTGCGACACACACACACACACACACACACACACACATCTCCAGAAGATACCGGTCCTCCTCCTCCTCCTCCTCCTCCTCCTCGACAGACCACGTCCAAACAAGCTCAGAAAACACCGGGTCCGTCCGTCCGCTCCAGCAAAAGCTTGTGTTGCGAGACAAGCCACCCACGCATCCCCTCATCCAACAAAGAATCATCCTCCTAAAAAAAAAAAAAGAAAGAAAGAAAAGAAAAGAAGAAGGCAATTGACCGCGAGGCCAAGACCAAAACCGCTCCAGCCTACCCTATCCGGTCGGTCGGTCGGGTCATTCATTCATTCGCAGTGCGAGGGAACGTTGCGGATGGGAAGGGGTGAGGTGCTTAAAGCTTGGGGAGAGATGGACCGGTAATGGGAGAAGCTTGAGAGCGTATACGTACGTAGCTACGGTAGGTAGGTAAGGTAGGTAGCTGGGTCGCTGCTATGCCGTACAGTACCGGTAGTTGTGGACGGGGGGACGCTGGAGTGCAGTGCTCAGACACGGAAAGGAGACGCGGGCGAACACTCGAGGGGGAGAGAGCGAGGAGAGATGTACGGTACGGTAGTGCACGGAGATCAATCAAGACTGCTCCTACCGGGAGGACCTAGGTTCCAATGCGTGGTATTGATTGCTACTCTTTTCCCAACCAAGGCTCTATGCACACATGTGCCCTCAACACCAGACTCCGAATGATTTGAAGGTACCTTGCAACACCTAAGCAAACAGCTCCTTGGTATCCAGCGCATCCTTTTCCATCTTCCTCCCACCACTGGTCCGCAGACCCAGCTCGCCCTTCTTCGCCAGCCTCTCGATTTCCTGCTCGGCCCTCGCACTATACCGTCCAGCCTTCTTCTGCCGAATCTCACTTCTCACTTGGTTCGGGCTCACAAACTCCTTGTTCTCGTAAATGATGGGGCCTCCAAAACTGCCTTCCTGGATCACAATCGGCGTCAGCACGAAGCGAGGGCCAATCTCCACAAGACTTATTTCCGTCTCCGTGCCCTTCACATTTTTCTGCTTGATTTTCGGTGTCCCATCAGCAGCGGCAGTCTCCGTTGTGATTTTCGATGCCTCCGTCTCGGAGATCTGGTAGTTGCGGATCCAAATCTTGCCGTCGGCGAGCGTGAAGCCCATGACGTGGTCGATGAAGGGCTTGGATTTACGGGCGCCCTTCGGCACGCCAAAGATGTGGAGAAAGAGCTCCTTCAGGACACGGAGGTGCGCTTCCTTGTCGAAGGAGGCGTCGAAGGAGAGGATGGGCCGGGAGCCTTTGAGGCAGTTCCCTGTGAAGTGGAGTTCTTCCATCGTGTGTACTATGACCCAATCCCAGTCAGTACTGGGACTTCAAGAGGGGATAGGACTATGGCTATAGCGGGAGACGACGTACGGTTTTGCAGGTGCATCTTGACGGTTGGGCCGTTAGGCGCTTTGCTCATCCAGAGGTACAGATCCTTGCCCTTCCGCGCCTCGAAGAAAAACACATTGTTGCAGTTGTACAGCTCGGCCAGTTCGTTCAATTGGTACAGCTTAGACTTAGTATCAAGCTTTGCATCTTTGCGTCCGTGGGGTAGCAGAGAAGCCAAATCATTCAAGAGGTGTCGGTGTCTATCCAGCAACATTCGTCAGCACTTTTTGGCTCTCAATTCCGCCCCGAGTAGGAGATCATTACCGGGACGTAATTCCTCGCGAGGACAGGATTAGCACTCTCTGCTTGTTTTTCTTGATGCCGTTCACAGGGCCCTCCTCCTTGACACCGGCGGTCTTCGATAACGATTTGTAGACGGATGCCATGATCTGGTGCGGGAAATGTTGTCGTTGGCGCAACCTGCCCGAGCCTGGTAACTTTTTTTTCTGATAGAGGCTGCAGCTATCTTAGCGTCGCGCTTACACCGCTTAGGTTAGGCGCTCATAGTGGGGGTTCAGCCCCGTCTATAGTATATGGTACTGGTGTTTCTCTCCGGACCCTTACTTCTTGCCAACTCTAAAAAGTCACTATTCTTTTTAACCATTCGACTGGTCAGCAGAGAGAGCAGCTTTTCCCGATGTGGTACGTTGTACCCGATTATCCACAACTATCAGCCAGTTCCCTCAGTCACAGACCACGGGCCAAGTACCTCTCTCGATTCTCATCGGTCGGAGCAAATCATTCAAAGCCAACAGCCAACCAATAACCAATGCTAATCTATGAATTCCAACGCATGCCACATAATAACTCCTACTCAAATCATATGAGATGCTCAGTGGCCCATGAGAGCCTGCAGAAGGTCGATCGTTGCCGGCATGAGCAATCCCACTTCGCAGCCTCAAGCTTATTGAACTCTAGGACCCTTGCAGTCCAGCACTGCTCGGAACACTACTTATTGCTTGGAATCTCCTCTGTGAGAACCATATTTATCCCATGGCAGCAAGAAGCTGTATTACTTTCGCACTATATGCACATGGCTGGCTTATTCAAAGACATGCATATGTCTCGACAAGATGTTCACTGACAGAGATATATACTCACACCAGTAACTTGAATGTCAGAGAAAATACCTCTTTTGGATTTGAACAAAGCCCGACGCTAGCGAGACAGTGGGCGAGTGGCCTGGAAGCCGAGCAGTAGAAAGACCCTTTGTGCAAGTAAGGCGGAGAAAGGATGAGCGTGGTGGGCGTGCCCGAGAGCTGGCTCGAATGGAGTTCGGATTCACCGCGAGATGTAGATATCATAGCCAACGGCCAGGCATCATTAGGTGAAATTCATTGACTAAAGCAACCATAGTGATCGTTGAATGCATGAAAAAAATCCATCCATAAAACCCACCCCTTTGCACAACGAATACCGAAGAAAACGTAGAAGACCATCCGGAAGAGTCATCGAGTTCCGATCCGTCAGAGCCTGGGCCCCTTGTGCACAGCCATCCTAGGCTGGAACTTGAATCTTCATGACTCCTCAATGCTCCCTTCGTAACATGTTACAGACGCCTCGCCTTGGATCAGCCCTCAACCAACCAGAAATGTCCCTCGTAGCTGCGTAAAGTGAAATAACCGACGGAGAAGGACCTCTAGCAACATTTTCCACCCTTCGCTGCGCCGTCGTCTGCGGGCTTGCTTAGTGAGATGTTTGTACCTGCGCCGATGTTGGCTTGTGCTGACTCGCCGTTATCGAGGGCCTTTTGGGAGACGATTCGGTAAATTTCTGGGAGTAAGAGGTCAGTAGTTGATGGGGACTTTGAAATGGGGATTTCAATACCAGTAAGAATGTTTTGGAAGGCCAGCTCAACGTTGCTCGCATCGAGTGCGGAAGTTTCAATAAAGGAAAGGTTGTTCTCGCCTGCAGTCCCATGTTAGCATCACATCGGTTCCACAGACCAAATGCGCCCTACTCGCAAACTGCTTTGCCTCCTCTGTTGGCACAGCCCGTAGATGTCTCAAATCGCTCTTATTTCCCACCAACATGATGACAATGTTCGAGTCGGCGTGATCCCTCAATTCCTTCAGCCATCTCGTGACGTTCTCGTATGTCTGGTGCTTGCTGATATCGTAAACGAGCAGCGCCCCGACGGCTCCCCGGTAGTAGGCAGATGTGATAGCTCTGTATCTCTCTTGACCAGCGGTATCCCAGATCTGCGCCTTGATCGTCTTTGCGTCTACCTGGATGGACCGGGTTGCGAACTCTACACCGATCGTGGACTTGGAGTCGAGGTTGAATTCATTGCGCGTGAATCGACTCAGCAGGTTGGATTTACCAACACCCGAGTCTCCGATCAGGACCACTGACAGGCAGTTTGTCAGTACGGAGTATGGAGACTTGAGGTGAAGGAATAGGGGATGAAGCGATCAGCGGAGGGGTCCATGCTCACCCTTGAACAGGAACTGTGAAGGAGCGCTGGTCAGTATGTTCTCGCAGATAGTTTGGAGGATTCGGGCAACATACGTCGTACTCGTCATTAGCCATGGTTGTGAGGGAAGAGTTGTGATTGTGGGTTGCGCAGCAGAAATGTCGAGTTCTAGGTACGGTAGTAGGGGGGTTGGAGTAGCCTGTCAGAGAGTTGTCGCGAAGGCGGCGGCTGTCTTTGAAGAGATAGCTTGGCGAAAGAAGTGGGGCGAGGCGTCTAGGACAGGCGCGCTTATCTTATTCCTTACCTTACCTTAAGTTAACTTCTTCGTGATATGATATCTGATTTCGACTGTCAACTCGCGGATAAGGCACTGGTTCCTGTCGAAGGCCAACAAGAATCTCAGACTCGGATCCAACACTGATGATGCCTTGAGCTATTTAAAGCCCATGATATCCTTTTTTGTTTTGAAGCAGAAGTCGTTTCGAAACGCCGAGCTGGGATTAACCTACCGGTACCAGGGCTACGGAAGTCTATGCCTATGATCACGTGTTGCAGGCGGCAGAAACGCGATCTCCTGTCAAGTAGGTAAATACTTGTCAGCCCGGCGTCCCCTTATTTGCATGGTGTTCTGCTCCGTTACACTTCAGATACACCGAGGCTCATAAATTCTGGGGCAGTTGCGGGTACGGGCATCAACAACCGGGCCAGCCGCATCTGCGAGGCTACCTACTGCCCACCGCCACTCGTTCGAGAGCTTGCTTAGTTGCTTTGTCATCATTTCCTAATCACATCCCACAGCATGGCGTCAATATCCAAGTACGTTGATGAGGACGACATCTCTCTCACATCAACCGAGAGCGAGCAATACAATTCTGACACGGAATTTGAGGTTGAGAAAATTCTCGCAGAGAAGGGGGGCAAAAACAACAAGTTCTACCTCATCTCTTGGCTAGATTATCCCATCGAGAAAGCGACGTGGGAACCCCAGAAGCACGTGGGTCCGGAGATTCTGGGAACATGGAATAAAAGAAAGCAGCGACAGGAAGAAGGCAAAGAGGAACGCTTTGATGTCGATCAATGGACCAACCGGGTCAAAAGACTCGAGAACGAGAGGGCGGACCGGAAGAGACGACGAGCTGCCAAGAGGAAGCGGATTAGGAAGGCAGAACTTGAGGCGCTGGCCGCGAAAAATGCTAAGAAGCAGCAGCATGCAGACAGCGACGCCTCCAGTAGTGAGGCTCTCGAGGAGAACGAGTTCGAGGACTCTGCTGGTGTGAGGCTTAAAGGGGCTTCAAAACGAAAGAAGGTACCCATCAGAAGGTCGCCCTTGAAGACGGCCATCAAAGGGCCGAGCATCGATGAACTGTACGATAGGGTTGATAAAGCCGATGCTAAGATCGAAGAGGAGAGTAACAGGAAAAAGAAGAGTGGAAAAAGGACTGGCCGTTCTTCAGAGGTAAGACCGGAGTATTCTAGACGTACTCCCTGCAGTGCCGGCGAAACATTTCCTGGTTGGCATAACTAATATTTGAGCAGACGAACCTGGCTCAATATGTAACAGACCCGGAGGAAGATGTGACTTTGGCTCAAGCCAAAAGAAGTGGCTCAACTGCACGGCCACGATCGGCTTCTATCAGTGGACCGTCAGCTCAACAATTGAGTGTATCGCGAGCCACTTCAGCAGCAGTCAAAACTTCAGTTACAGCTCAGCGATCAGTGGCAGCCAAACCAGCTGCCACGAGTAGACAGCCCGCTGCTGGTAGGACCGCATCGTCACACAGTGTCGACGCCAGTAGGCCACCCATGCCTGCCAGTATTGTTTCCGCAAACAGCACCGATGCTAACAGAGGAATGAACCCCCCACTTGGAGGTCTGAATATCAGAGCCGGAAAACGTGCCACCAGAGGTGGATCAAACGTCGGCCCTAGAAATGTTTTTGAAGCAAGAGAGGCACCCAAATCAGAACGTCCAAACCTTCTTCAAAACGCAACGAATGCTGTCGAAACCAAGCCCTTTGGCAAGATGCGTTTTCGGAGGTTAGTGACCATCTTAAAATGTTTCAGTACCCGCCAATTTTACGTCGATTTGAGACACCGAGAGCGGCTCAACTGTCGAGGCCTTTCTGGGCACGTGCTGACTTATTCATCATACATTTAGAAGGGCCGAACTACAAGCTAGAGATATGGCAGAGAGAGCCCCAGATCTCAATGTCCTTGGTGGTCTCTTTGATCCATCGGACCCATCCGCTCTGCAACCGATCAGGCCCTCTGATATCAAAAGATCAAGCATTCCCTTTAATCAAACAGAGTCGGACGTGGATCGGGGTCCTAATCCACTGTTCTTGTCGAGAACCGAAACACCAGCTCCTGAAGTACATGCAAGTCGTCCTGTTGCGCTCACTCGTCCGCAGCCTGCAAGTTCAAGACCACTTGTGTGTTTCTTTTGGGACAGACAGCAGAGAGGTCTCGTCGATTCTCCGTGTAGGAATGGTGAGAGTTGCAAGTTCGACCATACCTACTATTACGAACAGCCTGTCGCGCACCCACCGGACGACTGGATTACCCCTGCCGAGAAATTTATACCTCTCTCAAGACACGCAGACCATCCAAACGACGGAACAATGTCACCAAATGAAAATCATCCTTCTACAGCCAACTCAGTCTCCCAGCAAGAGAGAAACTCGAGGCCCCTTGTATGTTTTTTCTGGGATATTTGGCAGAGAAGCAATCATACCAATTCACCTTGTAATAAAGGACAAAAGTGCATGTATGACCATACGTATGAATTTGGCCAGCCAGTAGCAGCAGCACCGGGGAATTATGTATTTCCTGCATCTAATAAGTTCTCGAGGCAGGCAGAAAATTCTGCGGATGATAACCGCGATTCAGCGTCTCACGCGGACCACTCTACATCGATGACTGACAACTTCAACAAGCCCCCTGTCTGTTTCTTCTGGGACAGGGCCCAGAAAAGTACCAACCTTGCGTCTTGCTGGAGAGGATCAAACTGCGTTTATGCTCACACATATGAGTTCGGAACGAACATTTGTCCACCCCCGTCCAGATTTAGTAGCCCAGATCTGCCCTCTCTATCAGCAGGGCAATCCGAACGACCACCATGGAATCCCGAGAATCCCCTCAATGCAATATGCTATACCTGGTACCACGGACGGATATGTGGTGGAGATCCTTGCAAATTCTATCACAGCATGGAGGAAAATCTACCGATTGCACCATCATCCGAAGGCCAAGCTGTAACGGCCTCGACAGCTACCTGCTCAGTTGACGCCCAGCTGCCTGCATCTGATCGGCCGGTCCCAGCAGAAGCAGGATCTGCCAGACGACCTTCATTGACTGGGCCTTCTTCCATTTCTAAACCTACCATAAACCAGCCATCAGGCCACTTGGAACGGCCAGCCTGGACACCTCAAAATGCATCTCAGGCAATATGCCACTTCTGGCTCAATGGATGTTGCAAAAGAGGAATGGCTTGTGATTACCTTCACGATCGAGATCCTAGCCTTCCAATTGCACCATCGCCTGCGGAAATGATCGTACGGACTACGTGCAAATTATGGGCAGAAGGTCGTTGTCCAAAAAGTGCTGAAGGTTGTCCTAATCTTCATGAACACACAGACTTCGTTCCACCATCCAATCGGACCACTTCCGCTCATTATCGCCATCGTCCAGAAGGGATATCGAAATCTTTACAGCAAGCGTCTATTGCTCCCCGCAAATCTGTCAGGTTTGGAATTGAAGACCCTATACAATTGGTTACAGAGCCTACCGCACCAGAACAGCGAAGCATAAACAGGCAGCCAATATCATCAACCGGCAGCATTGTTTGTAAACGTTTCAATTTTGGAGGCTGTGAGCGAGGAGATGAGTGTTTGTATCTCCACGAGGGCACAGATATCGAAAGGCAAAGAGACCAAGAGCGGCGAGAAGCTAATAACATCCCACTATCGTTCGATAGACTAGCTAAAAGCCCTCCGCGCCAGACCACAGATACCGCCGACGCCATTTTGTCATCCCCCGTTGAGGATGATGTGGATATGCTAGGGTCTGAAGAAGGACATCGTGGAGTTGGGGAGAAGCCTCAGATCAAATCACCAATTGTTCCACCAAGCTTGGTGGCAAAGCTCAAGACGATTAAGATGGGCGATTGTGGGCGCAAGAAAACAATTGATGGTTTTGGGACCAGATCCAAAGAAGTTGTCTTCGGAACTGAGGATCCCCAATCAATGGTTCTTGACTTCGGTGATATGGGATTACAAGATGACAAATCATGGTTGCGTACCTTCAACTCTACATCAAAAGTGGTTTTTGACCAGCTTTGTATGGTCCCAGATATCAGACTTCGTCAGAGATCGAACCAACAACAAACAATTGGGTATGGAAGTCTGGGAGCAGTCAACGTTGCAGATGCGGAGATGCTCAAGTTCATCGATCATCTTGCAAACGAGCTAGTCATTCGCGCTGCGGGCTTAGCCTCTATAATTGCGGAATTCGCTATACTTGTCTACCCTTCGAAGGATCGACAGTGGAGCTTCCTTGAACAATCTGCCAACTACATCTCGGAATCTCAGTTGCGATATGTAGTTATCAGACACGGCCTCGATTTTGGCATTCCTCAAGACTTGTCAGCCAAGGTCAGCTTTGGCGAACCATTTAGAAAGACTCTCATGGACAAAATCTATGGGCTTCGCTTGAGCAGATTATTGCCGAAATTCGAGAAAGGTCAAAATCCTTTCAAGTTCTTTTTACTCTTCCCGGAGTCTGAACAGCAAACTTCGAACTTCTTTGCTGCTTGGATACTGGCTTCATGTTCCAAATCTCTGATATATGACAGTCGGACGGAGGGCTCATGGGATATCTTCAGCAAGAGGCAGAACCATGAGGGCTTGGCGGTGGTTCTTATTCATGAGAAGCTCGCTGGAAGTATCGATCGATTACCCTCTGTGACTCGTCTCATCCCGTATTCTGGGATTGTCTTTTGGAATGTCTCAGATTCTACCTCGCCGTACCAAATGCTCCCTTCTAATTCATACGAGCCCGAATCCGACTTGGGAAAGATAAAGCTCACACGTCTTTTGCCTCAAGGCTGTGCTTTCCTCGTCACCCCAAGCTTTCTCGTAGCCGAGCCCGAGTTGTCTTATGACTTATTGGAATGGTTCTTGCATAAGAAATTCCCTACTTCGACCCCTGGAACGTGGAAGCTCGTTTGCTGCTACAGCTTCAGCGATTTCATGTTAGACCTCGCAAACACTAAAGTCCTGGAAAAGGAGGCGTTTGAGAGAGAGCACAGAGACAACCCAGCCAAAGACTCAATGTTGAACGAGAAGAAGCTGGGGTTTTTGCATTGCGAAACGCGTTACAAGATTCACGCTTTGCTTATCGAATGGGAAGCAAAACGCCCCTTAGGTGACTACGACTCGGCTTCGGATTTCAATGATAGCCATGAGAGTCCGTTTGTGGAGGCTCCTAAATGGATCGATCCGGATGATGAGGAGAATATGGTGAAGTGGTTTGCCAGCTCTTGGTCGATACAGAAGCTCGACTGCTACAGAAAATTTGGAGTTATTGGGACAAACGCAAAAAGTGCTAAGCGGGCCAGTAGGCTCAAGACAATTGTACAGAGCGAGCCTGCTGCACCTTCGTTCAAGACATTTTCGATGTCTAAGTCCAGCCTTGCTGTACAATCTCCTGCTACGCAACCAACGATATCTGCCGGAAAGCGGAAAGCAATGGAGATTGCAGCTAAATATAGCAAGCCTGATTCGACAGCCTCGTCTGATGTCTCTATGGATATCGATAGCCCCGTTCCCTCAAAGCATGGCATTGATATGAACCAACGAGAAGATGTCTTGACCTTTATCGCAACGACCGGAAGCAATTCAGTCGATGCGAAGAGATATCTTGCAAGAGCCAACAACGATCTCAGAAGTGCAGTCGAGATTTACAACAGAGAAGAAGTTGACAGATCAGCTACCGAATTGATCAACGAAGAGAGCCGTAGGCACCTACCACGCCCCGTTTTCATGGATTCAGATTTACAGCCCAACCGGTCCACCTCAAACCAAGGCTCACTCCAACTCGACTTCCCCCAGAAAACCAGATCCGGGATTGCAACTGAGAGCGAGAGGCCGTCGAAGAAAGGACGTTGGGAAGAACTGACGCCAATGGACGTCGACGTTGAAGATAATGACGACGACGAAGGGCAGCGGGAGAAGCCGGCGTCGATGATGGTGACGAAGGACTTCGAGGCTACGAGCGTGTGGTACGAGAAGTTGCAGGCTGAAGGAAGTGGGTGGGAGCACGTTACTCTATGCACGGAGTGGGCGAAGGCGAAGAGTTATCTTGGGATGGAGAAGACGGGGCGCTGAAGGTATGAGCCGAGTTGCGGAGATGGGAGGGGGGAGGGGGAGAGTATGAGATTTGCGACAAGCATCAACTTTTTTTTTTCTTTCCCTTTCCGAGCGATGATCTCTGGAGGCATTCCTGGTGCAGCATATTCTAGGAGTTCTGCACAGATTTTTGATACCCCAAAGGGTTGAGTTGCCGCGGGCGTTTCTCCGGATATTAGCTATGGCTGAACGGATGGCTAGATGACTTTACCTTAACTTGCCTTGCATAGTACACACGTCTCTCCTCTTTCTTTCTTTCTTTCTCTCTCTCTACCCCGAATCCCAGCTTTTATTGATACCATGAAGCGAGAAGGCGAAAGAAAGTAAGTGAAAAGTAAGAGCGAGGACATTATATATGCATTTGCACGTCAATTCTATCTTCGCAGCCCGGTTTCAGATAACTAGATGCTCGTCTTTTTCCTCCTTGGCTCGTTCAGTCAAAAAGAAAGGCTGCAATTGGTAGGTAGGCAGGTATGACGAGTAAGTAAGTAAGTAGATAGCACAGCACCTCGCTGAGTCTATCTGTCTGTCTGTCTGTCTGTCTGATTCTGCTTCGGAAGGGATATGAGATAAGGGCGGGGCTGGGGTGTTGTATCTTAGGTGCTATGCTTATACATACATATATACATACATACATACATACATACATACATACATACATACATACATAGGAAGTCGGATTAAAGAATGGTGGTAATATATAGATGGCTTTGCTACATGTACTACCAGCTGGAGGTGTGTGTTGACTTGGCGATGGCGATAATGATGAAAGCGGGTTACCTTGTGCTCATTGGATTTGTTTACATTGATTACATGGTGCACGGTTCGGACTTGAGCTCCCGTGGAGATACAAACGCTGTGGACATCTGGTGGAGTGCTGTCATGATGATAGGAAGGATAGATAGGGTCAGTCGATGTGCGGATACAATTTGACAGTGGCAGGAGTCTTGTCTCAGTGGCTCATGGATTCTTTGCAGGAAGGGGATTTTTTTCACTATGTCATGCGCATTGCATTATCCTCGTCTACTCAGCCAGGTAATCCTCCACCTCGACTCCCACACTCCTTCCCACGCCCCTCACGACCTCCCATCCCACTGCAACTCTGTACTTCGTTCCCGCGTCCAACACATCCGCCGTGTTGGCCGGGCCCATCCGCACCAGCAGTCTCAAACTCGCCAGCGTAGCCACAGCCATCAGTATATCCGCACTACCCTCCACCTTCCCTTTCCCCCTCCCAAACGCAATGGAGTCTTCCTTGATAGCGTGGAAGATAGCTAGCATCCGCTCTACAACAAACGCTTGCGGACCTAGCAGATTTCGGGATATCTTTCTATGTTTCGCAGTGCCAGGCTTGCCTTTCGAAAGTGCTGTCCCCCCACCCTTCTTCCGACGCTTGGACGTGGCAGCTTTCATGAAGAGCGTTGCATCCGTCTTGGGAGGGTTGAAGGAGGCCAGGTAGGCTGCTACTAATAACAGGCGGGAGTAGAAGGGCAACTGGGCGCCAATACCTGTGTATTTCGCTGATGTACTCGCAACAATTGGTTTATCGCTCGCGGAGTCCGCTACAATGTTGTGGACTAGCGCGGCATCGTTCTGGAATAATAAGCGGTTTGCGATTAGAAGTTTGGTGAACGGTGTGGGGTTTAAAGAGCCGTCGAGGATTGGCTTTATGAAGCGGGGCCATAGGCGTAAGCAAACGGAGCGGAATGAGAGGATGTCGCGGCCGGAGTGCTTGGATAGAGAGTCCCAGACCGCAGAGCAATATCTTAGCCATGTCTCTCTGGACTCATTTGGGAGGGTGGGAGTAGGTGTTGTGAGGGCGATTATTTGGAGAAGCTCGGGTTTCGTGTAGGCTGGGAAGGAGATATGCGGAACGCCTTGGAATTGGAGAAAGTTGGGACGCGGCGAGGTAGTAATGAAGACGGTGGTCAAGTTAGGGATCTGAGTACTTCTGTCAGATAGGTAGGTGCAAGGCTGTCCTTCTAGTAGGGACTCACAATTTCTCCTAGTCGCGCGAGAGCTGGTAGAAGGGTTGGGGGGGCATCGCGCTGGCGGTCTATACCGTCGAATACTAGCACAAATCTCTTCTTTCCTTCTTCGTCCTCTGCACTTGCTGCCCAGCCACCCAGGAACTTTTGGAGCTCGACTGCTAGCTGAGAAAGACTCTCACAGCGCCCAACGTTCTCTTTCCAGCCCACTGCTTTGGCAACAGCTCCAACTGTCTGCTCGAGTAGATGTCTGCCACCAATACACTCTGCGCTTTTGACAATCGCATGCCGTAGGCTGTCCTTGGGGTGCCCATTGGCATTCGTTCGTTCCTTTATCACAAGATTTGAGAGTTCCTCGAGCAGCGCTTTCGTCACTAAAGTCTTCCCAGTTGCTTCCAGGCCGTGGAGGACTATGTTACGGCTTCCTGCTCCTCGGATCTACCAATACTGTCAGCTGTGGGCACATTCCCGTCGAGGATATACTTACGGACAGGAGAGTGGATAAGGTGCGAATCTGCTGATCGCGACAAGGGAACCGTTCAACTAGAGAGGACAGAACAACTTCGCTCGGGAGTGAGAATATTGAAGCCATTGTGGATACGTGAAACTCGAGTGGGATATCGGAACGCGATGGAGTTCGGGAAGACGCGATTCAATGCCAAGCCAGGGCGGCTAATACCCGCGCGCTTGCTACGCCCCCATCGTACAGAATGCACTAAGGAGACCGGTGCCCACGTACACATCGTCTGTACCACCATGAAAGACCTAGAGTTCTTTGTTATCCCCTCCTTCCTGTACATAACATGCAGCTTCTTTGCTACATGCAAGGCAAAAGGCGACGCTGGAGACTGATATAAGCATTGCGTGTTATTATCATTGCTCCAGGCCTCTCGGCCGATTCCAGCAATATTGAGCCTCTTTTACGAATCACGTTTGTTGGTCAGATATTTGGTGTCTTTTATCGACATGTCATCTGATTTCATCCCAAAACGACCACACAAGAAAAGTCGAGGCGGTTGTGGAACCTGTAAGTTGAGGAAAGTAAAGGTAGATACTCTCTCCAAAGAATGAGGACTAAGGCTTATGTTATCAGTGCGATGAAGCCAAGCCAAAATGCAGTTACTGTGAAAAGAGAAGCCTCATTTGCATATATATTTTCCGCCCGACCAAAGCGCAATTGCCCGCGCCCCCAGATTTGTCTTCCACCTCTCCAGACTCTAACGCGTTACTTAATTCTGAAGACGGAGTCGAGGACATTGAACGATCCTGGGATCTCACCGTTGGACCATCCTTCCCAGCTGTAGACTCGTCTCTAGGCATCCTCTCACCTACTGATCTTCGATATATGCATCATTGGTCGACATCAACCTGGAAGACTCTAGCTGTAGGAAACTGGGCAGATAACGTCCTGAAAACGGAGCTCCCAAGTCTAGCATTCGAGCACAACTTCCTGATGAATACTATGCTAGGGATCGCCTCGCTTCACTCTCAACAGCTGCTCTTAGACCCTCGACAAGCCCAAGTAGAAACCAGCATGTACCGGGCCAAAGCTCTGAGACAGTTCCGAGAAGCTTTGCAGGATATTTCCTTCGGAAGTCGGAAGTATGAAGCCGCTCTGATCTGCTCGCTTATGGTCGTCATCCTCTGCTCTAAGGACTACCCACTGGACGATGGAGAGCTGATCATCGTCAACTGGCTGATCATGTATCGTGGGCTCAGCAGTGTCATATCATTTGGGCCAGGTCAGCGCATCCCTTGCTTATACTTTCGCCCTTGTCAGTTCAGGGTTGCGCCTTGGGATTGAAAAAAAAATCTCAATGATAATTAATCGTTCGCTTCCCGAGACTTTCAAATCATAAACACTGTAATTTTACTAAAACTCTGAATAGGCAGGGACCCGTTCGCTGCGATCCGGAGCTTGAGCGTATTCCCCATCTTCCGTCGAGAGGTCGAGCCTCTCACGATCCCACCCGTCATCCCCAAAATCCTAGTGAACATGCTGCGTAAGATCGGCCCTCGCGATCCCGACTTCGGGATCCTGGAGTCTCTCTGCAAAGCCCTCGATGCGCTGGGCATACTCTTCGGCCAGCTGCAGGAGAGTGGCGTCAGCCCGTCACTCTCCATCAGGGTCATCACGTATCCCTCGTACGTCTCGAACGAGTTTGCTTATGCGGCACAGGCGAAGCGTCCGAGGACGCTGGTTATTCTGGCGCACTACATGGTGTTCATCAAGCTGGTGAGGGATCTCTGGTGGGTAGATGGGATCGCGGAGCGCGAATTCAGGACATTGTTGGGGTCCTTGGGTCCAGAGTGGTACCCTTATGTGGAAGTGCCGATGATGGCGATGATGAGCAACAGTGACGAAGAGATCATGGCGTTGATGCTGCAGTGATACCGGTGATCATCAATCGATAGTCGCAGCTCGTGGTGACAGTGTGTGGCTTCTGCCCTGCAAATAGTCTGTCGAGGAACATTGAGGGGAACAACATACTCGAAAGAAACAAAGGGCATTCAATAACATTTCAGGCTACTTCTTGTCAAGAGGTATGCCACAATGAAAAATGGCTGGAAATGGAGCACTTCACACGTCGCTACGATCGCAGATGGTGTTTTTACATTACGGAGTTTAATGTCTCGTGCAGCTGATTTGAGAGCTTCGAGGCTCGGATATACAACCACCATAGCCACATCCAGCGCCTCTCTCTTTTCGACTCCCAGCAGGGACCGACTGTACGATCAAATCAGCAGCAAAAAGAGAAAAACACATACGAGTACCCCACACCCTCTCGTGAACGAGAATACAATCTAAACCTCATGTTGAACGCCGAGTTTCTGTCTGGCCCTCGTTGAGCCTCAAATTTCCCAGCATTCCGCTCAGCTGCTGATCGAAAACACTCTTCAGCGCATTCTTAGCACTCTTCATTTTCTGGTATTGCGTCGTGACCTGTACAGTATCAGCATGTACAGCTTTGGGTTTCCCAGAGGACTCCTACATACCGACCATTGAATGCTGTCAACGAAAGGTAATTCCGTTACGAACACCATTTTCTCCATGACCAAGAACCGAACACCAGTCTCCAGCTTCAAAATCCCGTCCAAGCGATCGGCGTGCATCAAATTCCGGAAGAGAAACTTGATCCACCGATCCACGCTCGCGTAGTGGGACACGTCGTCCAGAAAGTGCATCTTCATCTGGAGTCTCTCGGCGCGCGCCTCCTCGGTCAGAGCCTCCTCAACCTCCTTCGCCGTCTCGGGGATCTTGGGAAAGCCGAATCGCAGGCGCCACTCCTCCGCAACGGCAATCGCTCGAGTCTTCAAGTCGTAGAGAATTTTCTTGCGGGTAGCTCTCTGCAGCTGCTTGCTCTCGCCAGTAGTGAAGACTTGGCGCCAGAGCTCGATGGGGATAGTGCGGAAAACCCAACTGCCGTCGTTGTCGCCTAGGTGAACGAACCAGATCTGCTTAATGAGGTAAAGGTAGAGATTGATGACGAGCCTCTTTCTCTCAATACGATCGACAGGCATTGAGACCATCAATCCCTCTCTCGGGCTCCAGATGAGGCCGTCTTTCATAGAGATCCAATTGCGCTGCAACATGCTGTTAGACCAAATACTGTCTGCATTTTTGTAGTCGAGATTCAGCACATGAGTTTCGATCTTGCTTTCGGGAAAGCTTTCTTCGCAATCGAAAAAGCCTTGTTCGCTCATTGCGGGCGTATATTCGTCGAATTCTCTCGAGGCCCGGATGCTTCCTGGCAAGTCCTCGAACCCGCTGGCGCCGTCGGAACCGTCCGATGCGTCATCTGATCCTTCACGGTAGTCATCCTCGTTCTCATCTGTAGATTCATCGTTTTGCTCATCCGTGCATTCTCCATTTGACTCAGCTGCGTCTTCCTCGCCCCTTTCTCTACTTCTGCTGCGACCGTCAGAAGGACCCATATCCGTATCGGAGTTATCGGAGAGCGAGTGATCATTGATCTCTTCTTCGGTGTCACAAGCTCCTTCGTCAATGACCTCTTCATAGACTGATACCTCCCTCGGCAGCCCTCCATGAACCACAGTGCTCGGATCCTCATACTCCTCTCTCTCCAAGTTCCCCCCGTCGGCTTCCACGCACCCCGAATCATCCATAATCGTATAAGAATCCTCCTCGACGATCGAACTGCCCATCTCACGGGGCTCCTCGTCGGCCTCGCCACTACCCATCTCCTCCCCGATATCCATGCCGACAAGATCCTCTCCTGGCATCGCGCTCCAGGCCTCACCTCCATCGCTATCCGTCTGGTCCCCCGGAATGAAAATCGGAACGGACGAGACGTCGAGATACTCAGTGGTGGCGGTAGAGATCTCCACGGAGACTTCCATATCGACCTCGACGCTGATCTCCGTGATCGTGGTGTCGCCGTTGTCCGAGTCCTCCGCCGCCAGAGGAGCGACGTGGTATTCTCTCATCTCCGGCATATTGGCCGTCGTTTTTTTCCTTGTCGCGGGGTGGGGAGAGGGGAAAGGCGAATTCAGCGCGTTGTATCTGTTCTGTGTTCTCGCTATGGGGAGTTTTTTGGGGGGGGGGCTGAAGTTCTAATTTGCGCGTATTGTTGTCGCGTTGGTTTTGGTTGCTGGGAAGCGGAAGGGGAAGGAAAAGGTGAAGGGGAAGCGGAGGACGAGGTTTACAAGGTCCGACGAGATCAGGCGAGCGAGCGCATCTTCACACTTTCAAACTTATTGCGGAGAGCGAGCGAAGTCGGGTGCAGTCATCGCTTGCTGCCTGCAGAGGTGAGGTGAATGCTAGAATAGAAGTGAGGCTACGAATATATTTCACACTCGAGTCTCGTGACTTTTCTTTGATCTCGGTATACAAAATGAATAAAGTAAGATAAAATAGAATAAAATAAATCCCTTTCCCAACCAACCAACCACGTCACGTCACGTCACGTCAGGTCACGTCCTAGGTAACTCGCGTCCCAATTCGGCAGGCGCACAGACTTAGTTTGCCTTGGAGTTAAGCTGTCCATCTCCCATCTCCCATTCCTGATCCTGATCCCTTTATTCTTTTCTCCGTTTCCATCTTTCTACCTGCCCATTCACTCAGCAAGCAAGCAAGCAAGCACACCAGCAAGCAGCAATGCCATACCACCCTCCTTCCCTCCTTCCCTCCCCCCCCCCCCCCTCTCTCATCGTCCCAAAATCCCATCATTTTTAATCCTGCACTCACTCACTCAATCAATCAATCAATCAATCAACTCAAATCAAACCACTTGCTTCCTTTCCTTTCCTTTCCTTTCGATCTACCTATCTACCTACCTACCTACCTACCACCCACCCAAAGACACTCCCCCCAAAAATCCCCTAAAATCCCAGTCCCAACCCCAACCCCAATCCCAATCCCAATCCAAGAAATCTTTCCCAAATCCCAAGGATCAAGACCAAACATGCATGCATCCTAGAAGATTCTTCTCATCGACAATTTGCGATTTGGAGTCATGGTTCGGTTTTTGGAGACGCCCCGCCTCCCCCATCCTTCTTTTTTTCTTCCTTTTCTTCCTTTTCTTCCTTTTCTTCCTTTTCTTCCTTTTCTTCCTTTTCTTCCTTTTTTTTTCTTCCTTTTTCTTCCTCTTCTTCCTTTTCTTCTCTCTTTTTTTATTGGTACTAGATTTATTTATATATATATATATATATATATATATA